CTAAAACCATTTAAGTTTCATACAAGGTTGAGTCACCTCAATATTTCCCACCTACAAACTTAGATAAGACAGTCTGAAGATACAACGTTACTATTCTGACTAAAAGTCAAAAAGTTTGACAGGAGATACGCTACTACAGGAAGTCTATCGTAATCTTAACCAACATATCACCTTACTTATTGTTCTCTCTTCAGAAGGATATGATTGTATACACGCCAATGATTTTTGTGTCAGTCTATTTGGGATTACAGGGCATTTTGCAATCGCCTTATTCGCATATTTAGTCAAGCAGGTGTATAACAACTGTGTATATCTGAGCTGTGCATTCGCGAATAACTTGACATCAAGGCATCAGTTCTCAAAATGAACATGATAAGTTTAAATTATGGTATTTGTAACTTTAATTCAAAATTATCTTTAACATCTATCTCAATTATGAAGACTGTTGAGTTTCATTGAAATCATGAACCCCATCATTGTTAGATCAATATTACAAATCTAAAAGCACTGGACATCTGTTTCGTCTTAGTATAGGACTCATCAGTAGAGTGCTTCCATGACTCCTGTTAACGGCAGCCACCGAACCCACGACCGTTGATCTCGGACACAAACGCTCATCTAAACCGTCATCCAACATGATTATTATCTAACTTCAATCATTCCACAGTATTGCACAACATATTGTATTGTCTTTCTAGAGTCTATCAACCAAAAATGAAGGCTTCATCAAAATCATGAATCAATCATTGTTAGGCCACCAATAAAAAACCTCCAACTAATCGATAACCGTTTTATCTTAATATGCAACTCATCAGCAGTACGCATTCACAACTAAACCATACAGAAATCAAACCCAGGACCAGCAGTCTCGAGTGTACACCCTGAACCATCATCCACAGTCAAATGATTGACAGACAGACTGACAGTTTGACTTACTTGCATTCTTCCACTACAACAGAATATTCCAACTTCTCCAATGTAATCAACAAATGTCCATTAAATACAAATTGATCTTTTGTACTCCACGAATCAACTTTATTATTATTAAAAGGTTTCACTAGTAAATATTGTATTGACCAATCATCATCATGATCACTTTTATCGATCGGATCATTGTTATACATTGAAAATGACATAATTCCAATGAAAATTTCATTATTTTCATGATGATAACTAATAAAACTTGCATAATCCCCATATAAATCTTCAATGATATAAATTGAACTAATCATTTTTGGGGTATTCTGATTTTGCAATGAAATTGATTTCAAATTGAATGCATCATTAGCATGAATATTATTGATCATTGAATCACCATTGTACAAACGATAACCGCTTTCTTCAAAAATTGGTTTTACCATACTAATTTGATTTAAATTTCTTATTGATATAGTATATGGTGCAATAAATGTACAATGATTATCAATTATGTATGGTATTAATTGTGCTGGTTTAATACTATACGCCAGTGATTGATTTAAATCCCACATGACTATTTCCATACTACTACTTATATTTTCATAATTAGTAGTATTATAAGGATATTGATGAGAAAATTTACATTTTGAACGTTTTGAATAATTTTGTATCATCGTAATGAAATGATTATTGGCGAATTCATAATACATATATAATTTTGGTAAAGGCGCATAAGTTAACAAATCAAATATTCTTGAACATGGTTCCATTGGTATGAATATATTGTCATCGGCGTTGGATTCAATACGTTGTATAAATTCACCAGTTCCTTCATCAAATAAATCAATACAACCAATCACAACATTTTCATGCGCCACGACATTATTTGATGGTGAACGACTTACTAATATAATTGGTCGACCTAATTCACTATGTACACCCAATAAACGTGTACCTTGATTTGGACATTGTAATAATTTTGTTTCAATCGGCGTTTGGCTTAAATCAAATTCATAATTCAACATTGGTTGTTTGTTTAAATGAATACTGAACATGACAGCATGTGATTCACCTCTGACACCACATACTATGTAGAGTTGAATATTTTGATAAATATTCCCTGTTAAAAATAATTCTGTAGTTGATGATTTCACAGGATTTGGTAAACTCATTGAACGTTGTTGAATTCGTTGGTCTGGTTTATAACTGTATTGATTACCAATGATCTGATTGGATGGATGAATTAAACTGATTGGTCCAAATATTTGTTTTATTGAATGACTAGAACTGTTAGGTTCCCATAACCATATTGATAATTTATAAATACCTTGTTGTAATATAATAATATATGCTATAGTGTGATGCTCATTCTCTACAATGTGTACAGTACAAGTTTCTCTCACTTTACATAATCCTACATCTAACGGGTTATGCATATCATCAGATAATACATAATATTGATTACATAATAGTGTACGCGAATCGGATTTGTTTAAATTCAATGGCCAAATTACAACTCGTTGACTTGGTGATTCAATGCCCAATATTGCATCATCATTCGATGTAATCCATATTAATTGATCAATAGTTTGTATTGTATCGCAAGCAAGATAAACAAAAAACTGTCTGAAATCATGTTCAATATTCCATATTTCTAATGTGTTGTTTAAATTCACTAGATTTTTAGCAGTTATCGCGATGTAACACTTGGATTTGGAATAAGCTATAGCATTGATTTGTATAGTTTTTTGTGAACATGTTATACCTGTATTCGATAACATGATACCATAATATTTACATGTTAAATTATTCACAATCTGATTAGTTGTACATAAATTATGCGGTAATTTAAAATTCATCATTGTTGGTATTTGAATATTTCTAAGTAAATTATATTTTTTTATATTATCTAAAAGATAATTTAATGATTTTTGTATAAGACTATTTTTATCCAATGTATTTATCAATTGTGATTGATTTTGTTCAATGTTCAAATCGTCTTCATTGAACCATTGAACATTGTCAATATCTTTAAAACTATTCAGCAGTATACTATTTAATAAATTAGGATTACGTGTTAATTTATCTCTCCATTGAATGAAAATGCCTAGAATCATAGTAATATCAGGATTATTTTCTAAACATGTTATGATATGTTGCGTGAATAATTCTGTTGGAGGGCCTGGTTGATCAGTTTTCAATTGAAGATTTTTTGGCGGTTGTTTTTGTTTTAATTGATCAATTGAACAACATTGAACAATGAATAAACATGCGCCAAATTCATCTAGTATATTTTGTAAACTGAATGATTCATGTAAATCTGTAAACGCGTTCAATTGTAATTTCATATTTAACCACAAAGGATTTAAAAAACAAATTGTTTTCAATTGTTTAATTTGTTTTAATTTTGATAAATGATATGGTACTTCATAGCACCATCTCCAATGAATATAATATTGTTGTGGATGCCAATTAGTCAGCGTTTGGCAAATTGATGTAATTTTATGTTGATTATAAAATGTATTAACTTGTAACGTGTGTAATTCTATTTTCATGCTATGATTTAAATGATAATGTTCTAACCATAGACGAAATGATTGTTGACTAATATTCCATAACTGATAACAACCATATGGAGGTGATCTTGTGGTGTTGTGTAACATACCCAACGGATATAAGAATTCATACAGAAATCGATAAAACCAATGACGTGTAATGTAAACACGATCTGTTTTATCATTGAACACTGATAATAATAATAAATCTTTATCAATATCTTGTATTGAATGTCTTTGATAGTTTGAATGAGGTTGATGTTGATGTTGATGATGTAACGGTCGGATAGATTTTGTCATTTGATTAAAATGTAATAAACCGCACCAAAATAGATTTAATAAATCTTCATCGGTTAAACCCCATCTTGTTAGTGTTAAATGTCCAAGTATTAATTGGACACGTTTTGTACCATAGAATTTTTCAGCATATTTTAATAACAGACTATAAAATTGATCATTGGTAAGTTTGTTTGAATCAGTATTATTAGTAGTGGTGAACATATGATGCAATTCATTTTGAGCATAATTGAACAATTGAACAACAATTTTCAATTGTAATGGTTGTAGTAGTGTATTTGTTGATTTCAATAATGTTAATAGATTATCATCATGGTCATTTTGTGGTGACCAAATTTTAATACATTTCTCTATACTACTGAAATCAAGGTGTGTCAATGAAATTTGTTGATAATTTTCGTTATTATTATGATTGTTCAATGGCAGGATTCGATGAATTTTATTTTCAATCAGTTTGTTAAAATAAGCTATTTCGTTAGGATTATTTATAGAGGATAATATAAAAACCACAGGACAATTTAAAATTGATTTATATGTGATCCAATGGAATGGTATCCATGAAATAGGAAAATCATTTTTTCGTTGTTTACATTCTAGAAAGGAGAAAAATGAAAGCGCGGGAAAATCGATTTAAATTAACAAAAAAAAATAGATAAATTCAATGTAAGTGTTTGTTTTAAAGTGTTCTAGTTACTTACAGCCAGTCAGTCAGTCAGTTAGCTAAGACTTAGACCTATGTACGTATGCATATCAGTTCAAGTTGACGCGTTACCATGTAGTGAAGGAGAACACAGGTGAGGGCAACCGAATGATGTTTATCTCAAATTAAGAGTTAGTTGGTAAAATAGGAAAACCATATCGTAAACTGTTAATTTGCAAAATATGAATCCGTCATATCGAACTGGACTGTTCCTGTTGCAAAACATCAACAATCCATTGTCTGACATTTCACCACTATTCATGCTATTTCATACAAATTCTATTGTGTTCCCACTCTTCGTTTCTTGATCTTCCCCCATCTTCTGCTGCCAGACATTACGTTTACACTCGCGTCATATACTACTTATAAGTAGCGCGCACCACAACCAATATTACCACACACAGAGATGGAATTGTCAATTTAAATCCTATAATAGTAGAGTTAGTAGATGTATTAGTGGTAATGGTGAAGATTAGTGTTTGAAGATATTATTCAAGAAGTGTAGGTTAGTAAAATAAATTTAAAAAGACAAAGATGAGGGATTAAGAAGGTTAGAATTTTAGAGAACACAATGAGTCGATGCAAACGATTTTGAGTCATGTCTTTCAAGGTCTCTAGCCATCGGTGACTTTTGTCTCGCGGACCCCAACCAGGTAGTCTACATCTACCAACATGACTCAGTCTAGTTGTCAGTGACTTCATGGATTTGTGCCAAAACATGACATAAATCCATAGACATTCTGTTTCTCTATGAACGGCGGATTATATGTCATTCCTAGTGCTATAACGGATTAGTTAAAATGATCTGAAACCACAGAAAATACGACTCAAACAGAGAACACACACACAGTCTACCATAATTCAAATGCGAGTTTATTTTATGATTTAATGTTCGAGTTGAATACTATTCAGATTGCTTAAATTTACAAGGAACAATTTTAGTAAGATTTTCAATAATGGTCTAATTTTGATCAGTTTATGAATTCATTTGAAAGTTGAACAATCTCCATAACTCCCTTCTTTGATAAACAAAATATACCTGAATGATGGTACTTTCTACACCAAATACAACAAATAACAAGTTCGACTACTTTATGTAATCAAACGGTGAGATATCAACTAATTCAATAGTTAAGAGTATGGGCAAATTTCTCATTTAGACAAAGGATCCATTCCAAAGATCAGCAAATAAAACTATAAAATAATCATTTTGTGAGGAAACTTTACAAATCACATTCAAGTCCTTATCAGCTACAACAAACGTTTCTCATAATTATGAAGTGAAGTTTCTACCTTCTTTGAATATATCAAATCAATGAAATAATGTTAGGTTCGTCACTAGGTATGCTTGAAACTATTACGAGTTCACCTTAGTCGATAAACGAGAAAGAGAGAATGAACCAGCGTTCAGGTAGGCTACCTGGATTCGATGACTAACGAAAAGTCTTGATATAGCGTAGAAGGTATATTCTAAAAACACCCAGGGGCAAGCACAATGCATTCAAGCACACAAATCTAGTTTATTTATACATAATAGAAACGTCCTTGGGAAAGTCACAAAAATAGCACACTGGATTACACAGCAACCAATCACAGCCAATGATTTTCCTGGTGGGCATTGTTATCTCAAGGTCAGCTGACCAGCCCATGCTCGGAAACGAAAAAACCAAATTAAGACATTTAACCAGCGAGTTCTGGGGATCTAGCGTCCCCAACAAATTAAAAAAGACGAATAATTCGGAATTCGGTCACCAATTAGAATATGAGGTCAAGTAAAATAAAGTTAACTTTGCCAAGAGCCCCTTATTGCATTATTTCTGTTCCAAAGCCAGGATATAGGGAGAAGATTGGAAGTGGGATTAGATAACTTTTAATATATATGTATATATATATATATATATATATATAACTATATTTGAAACGCAAATTTCTGAACAGTGTCACGAAAATTGTATATTACACTATTATTAGGAACCTGGAAGCACTAGATGGTTGTTTCTATCAAAGTTAGACATTATCACCGTTGGATGCCAAATTAGTGGTCCATAGGTAGAACGTTCGCACGCAACACCGAAGGTCCTGGGCTTGAATTCTCCGAGTAGCAAGAGTCGTGTATTCCAACAGCTGATGACTCTCATACCAGAACGAATTAGCTATCCACTGCTTCCAAGTTTCTAATGATGGTCTAACATTAATTGATACATGATTTCAAAACTAACCCTACAATCTCCACAACCCTATAATGTAGAGATTATTGGATTTCATTGAAAGCATGACCTGATCAATGATTGACCACCATTATAAAACTTAGATGCTAGCTCCACTATGGAGGCTTCTTCGACATTACGGTGTGCCTGGGAAGATAGTTAACACCATACGGAATTCTTATGATAAATTCAACTGCAAAATCGTACACGATGGACAGCTAACAGACTCTTTCGAGGTGAAGACCGGTGTCAAGGAAGGTTGCTTACTCTCACCCTTTCTCTTTCTCCTGGTCATCGACTGTATTATGAAGACGTCGATATCTGGAGGGAAGCACGGTATCGAATGGACAGTTAGGACGCAGCTGGACGATCTGGGCTTCCAGATGACATGGCTTTTCTATCTCACACGCAACAACAAATGCAAGAGAAGACGATCAGTGTAGCAGCAGTCTCTGCAGCAGTAGGTCTCAACATACATAAAGGAAAAAGCGAAATTCTCCGATGCAACACAACATGCACCAACCAAATCACTCTTGATGGAGATGTCTTGGAGGACGCTAACACCTTCACATATCTGGGCAGCATCATCGACGAGAAAGGTGGATCCGATGCAGATGTGAGGGCGTGGATTGGCAAAGCAAGGGCTGCATTTCTACAATTGGACAGCATCTGGAACTCCAAACAAATATCAATCAACACCAAAATCAGAATTTTCAATACAAATGTGAAGACAGTTCTACTGTATGGAGTGGAAACTTGGTGAACTACCAAAGCCATCATCCAGAAGATACAACTATTTATTAACAGTTGTCTACGCAAAATACTTCGGATTCGTTGGTCAGACACAAACAGCAACAACGTACTGTGGGAGAGAACAAACCAGATTCTAGCGGAGTTGGAAATCAGGAAAAAGCTCTAGAAGTAGAGAGGACACACAATAAGAAAAGATCCTAACTGCGTCATAAGACAAGCCTTCACTTGGAACTCTCAAGGCGAAGGGAAAAGAGGAAGGTCAAGGAACACATCACGCCGAGAAGTAGAGAAAGACATAAGAAGAATGAACGAAAATTGGACAGAACTAGAAAGGGAAGCACAGGACAGAGTTGGTTGGAGAAAACTGGTGGGCAGCCTAACTCTATTGGGGGGTAACAGGCGTAAGTAACTTAGTAAGTAAGTAGCTCATTGGTCAAGAGGTTAGTCGTTTGAGCACAAGATCAAAGGTCCTAGATTCCATTCTCACATGTGGGGTCGTGGATTCACACTGCTGATGAGTCCCATTCTAAGACAAAACGACAGTCACGTGCTTCTTAGTTTGTAATAGTCACCCAATATTGATTGATTCATGATTTCAATGAAATACACATATAGCTGATAGACCATTACTCAGGAGTCAGTTCTGTTTATGAAAACAAATGTATGAAAAGCGATCAAACAATATCATAGATTATTTAATTTATAATATTACCTTCTAAATTTTCAATTCCATCCAAAATAATAATTAATGGTTGTTGAGATGATTGTTCATATGAAGCTTCAATGATAGCTGTTTGAAAAGCTGTACGTAATCCGTCATAAGTCTACAAATAAAATGTTTTGTAAATGTAAACGTATCTTTAAAATAATAGATTAGAAAAATCACTGACATTACCGTGGGTTACTTCTAAATACACCTTAATATAAAACAGGGGAAAATGACTTCATTCGCCTTTGAAATCATGAATCGATCAGTGTTAGACCACCATTAAGAATCTACAAGCACTGGACTGCTGTTTCGTCCTAGTATCGGACTCATCAGCAGTGCACATCCACGATTCATGCACCTCACAGGATTGGAACCCTGCGAGTAATCTCTGAGCACAAACACTTAACCTCTAGCCCACTGAATTGACATCCCACAGTATTAGTGTCTTACTTCGATTAATTCACGGTCTTGGGTAACATCATCCAGGTTTCCAATGGTGATTTAACACTGATCAGTCTATGATTTCGAAAGTAATTCAGAAATCTTCACAACTGTGTAATTCAAACTTTATTTATTATCACGTAAACTTAAAATATTTTTAGTTAAATTGCATGTAGGTTGTGAAAACCTTTCCTTTCTATGTATTCTAATTGAATACTTCAAAAAATTGTATAGAAAAAAGTGAATATTGAATATATTCTTTTTAAGAAATATTTCATTCAAAAATCAACTTATTTTTTAAATTTTAGATAGAATTATTTCTTAAATCAATTTTCAAAATAATCAATTTGAAATTCCTACTTTTTTAAAAAAAATGCTTTCAAATGATACAAATTAAATTATTTCATAAAAAATATACTACTTAAAACTTCATTTAAATAGTATAAACTTTTTATTGTCAAATTAAGGCTCAAAATGTCATCATATATAAACGTTTTCTAACTTATACATAACATACATCAGCAATATTTGAATCATTCATTTGTGTTGAAAGTTCAAAACATAAATAACCTAGAAAATTCAATAGATTCAATGACATTGTTGAAGATCCAATCATTCTGTAAATGACACGTGGACTGAAAGATTGAAACAGAAAAAAAATCAATAACTGGATGAGTAATTTAATCAAAAGAATGGATCAGTGTAATGTAGGTAAAATTATATAATATGGTACTTCAGAATGTTGTATTAGTGTTAATGCGAATCTGTATCTGTCTGAAGAATGGTAGTATAATCAACTGAAGAACAAATGGCATTCTTGAAAGATTTCGTCTATTGAGAAACGTATTGCAGATAGAAATTCAAATGACCGTTAGATTTTTCGGTTGATAAGATATTTTAAAAACTGTACTGTTTGCGAAACTTCTGTCTGGAGCCCCTCTGGGTTTACTGCTGATCCCAAGCCCGGATAATGGAGGAGGGCTGGGTAAAGGGACAGAGACCACAACTATTTCGTTAAAAAACGCTAACCATTTAAATTATGCACTGGAAGTTAGAAGTTTATGATATCTCATGGTGAAAGCCAAGTTATTTAGGAAGTTACGAGGCCGATGCCCCTTCTCAAAACCAGAGCAACCATTAATTTAGGTACATGGAATGTCTGTACAATGTGTGAGACCGGGAGAATGTTCGAAGTTCCTGAAGAAATGAAAAGATACAACTTGCAGGTGCTTGGAATCAGTGAGACGCACTGGATGGAGGTTGGACAAAAAAGACTAGCTTCAGCAGAGCCTCTGTTATACTCAGGCCATGAGGAAGAAAATGCCTCACATTCACAGGGAGTTGCACTGATGCGAAAGAATTAACCAGATTCCTGCAGAGGAAGAAATCGAGAAGAAGTACTGAAAGTGGATAGGAAAGCACCGAACTGTGTCACCAGATAAGCCCTCACTTGGAATCCTCAAGGCCAAAGGAAAAGAGGAAGACCAAAAATCACATTACGCTGAGAAACGGAAACATAGATGACAAGTATGGACAAACATTGGACTACTTCACTATCACTAGTTCAGGTGTCGACACAGGCTAATCCTGAAGCAATATTTTGCATTTCAAGGTCAAGAATCAAATTCCAAACATGCTCGCAATGTTGATTAAGGTGATCAGAAGACTTTACATCTTGTCAGAATCTTCACCAAACAGAACTATGTCATCTACATATTCTAAAACAACAAGCAAGTCTCCTGGTAGAAGGTCCACCACTGAAAAGTCAGACGAGGATAATGTTATCAATAAAAGCATGCTTATCACAAAGTCGAAGAGGAATGGAGAAATTCAACAGCCCTGATGGTATTTGGAGACAATTTTCATGCTTGAAACTATTACGAGTTCACCATAGTTGGTAAACGAGAGCAAAGGAAAATGATCCAGTAACACAATAGGCTACTCTAATCCGAGTGTCCCAAGGTCCCACTAAGTAGAGAAAGACATCTTGATAAGACGTAGAGAGTGTATTCTACAAGCATCCAGAAAATATGAGGTTCACAAGCACACAAATCGAGCTTATTTATACATGATAGAAACGTGCTTGAGAGAGCCACAATAATACCATACTAAAATAATACATCAACCAATAACAACAGTCAAGGATTTTCGCGAGTGAGAATTGTAATCTCAAGGTCAACGGATTATTATTATTATCATTACTTAGTACTAATTTGTGTTGTAAATATTTTCAGCTACGCTTATTTCAATATGATAAATGTGTTGTTATACATGAAACCAATGGAAATTAGTTAGCCATATAATCGAAAACATGAGAGTTTTGTCCTATCTTGAAACTCATCATTTGAATGTACCTTTTGTCGAAAAGTTGATGTTTCACTCATGAACACGAACCTAGTGCCTTCATAGTTGAATCGACATTGTTTACCCTACTTAGTTACTGATGGCCGACCATTCATGCAATGAGGTATAAATTCCAATGTAATTTGGTTTGAATCCCTAAGATGAACATTAACTTTGTGATACCAAGCACATCCAACTGATGAGTCCCGATAAGGACAAAACGTGCTTCCTGGGTTCAACCGATAACCATATTCTACCTTTCGTATGTAAACTCTGTTCAGTGATGAATTTATCACAGTCATTCATAAAGGGTGCATACTTGTCAACTAAAAGTGATCGATCTATACAATGAGACGCATTGAGCCGCTAAAAATCTAATCATTTTTCATCTTTCTGCATGTAATGTATGGTTTCACACTACACAATTACAAGTTATTCTAAAATTCAAAAAACAACTCACTTTACAAGTGAATCATCATTAACTTTCATTGATTTTGTTGATAACATTTTAGTTAAACAAGCTAACAGGACAGATTTTCCACTGCCAGATTCTCCAGTAATATGAATAAATTTGAAATAGTCAGTATTGGCATCCGATTTTGTTTGACAATTCACTGTGTGTTTGTAAATTAAATCATACAATTGTGTAAGGGTTTCTTCTCGTGCAATACACAATGATGACCTTTGTTTTATGAAAGAAAAAAGAGAATCATGTTTTTTATACTATGATGATAATTGATATGATTGAAGTACACGATAGATCACCCGAAAAGATCTAGATTTATCTACAATGTGGTCACTATCTCTACTAGGTGTGCTAAGATGGAACTGCGTATTGTTTTTGACTGACCCTTAATAAACCATGCTGGGAGATGTGTAAGTTGCCTGGAAGTACGCTTGATATAGCTATCTCCACAGAAGCAGCTGAATTTGTAAATGCACGTAGAGGAGACCAACTCAGGTAACTTATCCTTCGTTTGAGTAGACATCGCTGGTCGACAGGAGAATGTCAATGCAAGTTTGGCAGCGTTGAATGTTCTATTAATTACTCTTATTAATCTGTCCTGCAGAGTATCACAGGCCACATCTCTGTTGAATTGTAACTTCATAAATAAAGGCTTCTTTTGGGCGGTCGAAACCACCGACTTCTTTTTTTTACGGCAAACATATACTTCTTTATGAATGCGCTGGGATAACCAATCTCGGTTAGTGAGCCGTTGATGAATTCCAGCTCTTGACTTAAAGTATCCACTGAACATATCATCTTTGCTCTGTTAGTGAGACATCTAACCAAATTTCTTTTGTAGCGGATAGGTGTAAAACTACAAAAGTGAGTGTATTGGCAAGCACTGTGATTTTTTCGATATACGCTTCTACTTAGTGAACCATCATTTCGCCTACTTAGTATGACGTCAAGGAAAGACAGTTTTTTATCATATTCTTCTTCACCAGTGAACGGGATTGCCGGGTGTACACTGTTGAATTGTTCTAAGAGTTTTTCTTTTCTGGTGTCCTGATCTACAATGATGAATGTGTCATCGACATAACGGCAATATAGATCAAGTTTCTGAATAGCTTCATTGAATGGTCCATTTTCTAGCTTTGCTAGAAAGAGATCAGCTAGAATTGGGGGTAAAGAGGTGAACCCATGGCTATACCGTCTATTTGTCTATAATAATTGTTGTTGAATACGAAATGGACATTCATCGTACATCTTAGGAGTAATTCCTTAAGGCAATTATCTTCGGGCAAGCCAATAATGATTTGTTTTTCCTTAATTTGCTCGCATATGAAATCAATAGTCTCGAGGAGTGGTACATTGGTGGACAAAGAAACCACATCCAGTGAGATCATATTTTTCTTGCTAACATTCATACTTTCCACTTTGGAAGTGAACTCAAAAACGTCTTTTACACTTCTTCGCACAACTGATTTATGTAGATAGTGGTCACATTGTAGATAAATCTAGATCTTTTCGGGTGATCTATCGTATACCTCCATCATTTCCCAACGGAGTTCGATCCCGTCTCCTACACATTGCAGAAAATTGATATGCTTGAATGCTATTACAAGTTCAGCTTACTTGGTAAACGAGAGCACAGACCAGTGATACAGTGACACGATAGACTATTCTAATCTGAGCGTCTCAGGCCCTGCTAACTAGATCAAGAAGTCTTGATAAAGCGTAGAGAGAGAGTGTGTATTTTACAAGCACCCAAAAAATATGAGGTTGCACACCAATCAGTGATTGAGACGCCCTTGGGAGAGCCACTAAAGCAGAGTGCTAAAATAATCCCGTCAACTAATGACAGTCAAGGATTTTCCGATGGAGGGAAATGTAAGCTGAAGGTCAACTGGCGCGAAAACATGGAAATTCAAAATTTCACGTACCCAACAAATAAAAAAGATAAGTTTAACACAAGAAATAAATGTTCACTTGTCATCATTTCTTGTCAGTAAATAAATATTTAACAGTTATGTTTGTTGGGGATCTCGAGATTATTGGAATGTGTTTTTTAAATGGTACTTGTGTGGCTACGTTGAACTAGACACAGTGTGGTGCGAGCTACTTATAAGTAGTATATGACGTGAGTGTCAACGTAATGTCTGGCAGCAGAACATGGGGGAAGATCAAGAAAGGAAGAGTGGTAACACAATGGAAATTGTATGAAACGCATGAATAGTGAGTGACAATGGATTGTTGATGTTTTGCAACAGGAACAGTCCAGTTGTAGTAAACGAGAACAGAGGTGGGGCAAACGAATTGTATTAAACGAAAACTACAGAGTTACTCAGTAAAATAGGAAAACCATATCGTAAATCGTTCATTCGCAAAATATCAACCCATCATATCGAACTGGACTGTTCCTGTTGCAAAACATCAATCCATTGTCACTATTCATGCGTTTCATACAAATTCCATTGTTTTCTAACTCTTCTTCCTTTCTTGATCTTCCCCCATCTTCTGCTGCTGCCACCAGACATTACGTTGACACTTACGTCATATACTACTTATAAGTAGCTTGCACCACACAGTTCGATATGATGGGTTGATATTTTGCAAATGAACGATTTACGATATGATTTTCCGATTTTACTGAGTAACTCTGTAATTTTCGTTAAATACAATTCGGTTGCCCTACCTGTGTTCTCGTTCACTAAAATAGAGTTCACTATTTTAGTGACACGAGATCTGACTCCGATATTACCGAACGATCGAGTATACTATGAAGTAAATCTTCTTTTCAGTTTCTGTATATCATACTGAAGCGAACACCGTTAGTGTGACGGCAGTGATTAAGAATCCAAATACGAATTCGGTTGAATGAGTTTATTGCAAGTGATCGTCTACCTGCAGGCAGACGAAGATGAAAAGCACACAAGCAAAGCGAAGCGAAATGGTGAAGGCGAGTAAACCAACTCACTGCGAGGAAGCGTGACTAAGTATTTAGCGGGACCTGTGATAATCGAAGTAAGTGATATGCACACGCATACTTGAATAGAAACAACTGTAGGTGATATAGGCGAATAGTTGACAAGGTCAAAAGACAAGTGAATAATAACTAGGACAGAATGGATTAGTTATCTTTGTCCGAAAGCTTGAGGCGAGCCCTGTGGGCTTGACACAAAAGTATACGCATTGCAGTACAGTTCATTTTATCAAGTATCTCCACTATCGAGTTATGGAGATTGTTGTTTTACAGTGAAATAGAGAATCAACCATTGTTAGACCATCGTTAGAAACCTGTAAGCACTAGATGGCCTTTTCATTCTAGTAAGGGATTCATCAGCAATGCACATCCACTCGCAAGGACCGAGTCGAGAACCTTCAGTCTTGTGAACGAATGCTTGATCTCTATGATACCAAGTCGGCATCCAGTGGTGTTGATGTCTAACTTTGATCCATCCAAGGTATTGCGCGACTTCATTCATTGTCTGCAGTGGATAATTGCCTGTACCTGACATGGCTGAACTCCACTGGTCACATATTCTCACTAAAACTTGGAGAATATCCTCACGGACCTGGTTACTGGTGAGGACATTTTATGATTTTTCATTATATAATTATGAAGATTGTTACTTTACATTGAAATAATGAATCTGGGTTTGGTTCTTGAGCGCAGCCGGAGCCGTCAGTGCACACAACTGATGAGTCCCATATTAGGACGAAACAGCCACTCAATGCTTGTGGGTTTCTAATGGTAGTCCAACAATCGCTGATTCACGTATTCAATGTAAAACAACCATCTTCATAATAGTATAGTGCAAAACATATATTTACTTGTTACGCTTGTCACCAGTTGATTTGCTTGAAACTACTAGTACGAGTTCACCTTAGAGTCGGTAAACTAGAGTGAAGACAAATGATCCAGTGACACGATAGGCTATTCTAATCCGAGAGTCCTAAGGCCCTACGAAGTAGAGAAAGACGTCATGACAAGAAGTAGAAAGTGTATTCTACAAGCACACAGAAAATATGCGGTTCATAAGCACACAAATTGAGTTTATTTATACACGATAGAAACACCCTTGAGAGAGCCACAAAAATATCATACTAAAACAATGCATCAACCAATAACACAATAGTCAAGGATTTTTGCGAGAGAGAAATGTAATCTCAAGGTCAAATGATCAACCCATGCACGAAAACACAAAAAATACTCAAAATTAGCTCTTTTATCAAGTGAGTTCTATTGATCTAACGCCCCAACAGACTGATTCTTGAATGATCTGTTCACTGACATTATTTTCTGCACAAATCGAGTTTATTTATAAATGATAGAAACGTCCTAGGGAGAGCTACAAAAAGGTCTCAAGGTCAACTGATCAACACATGCGCGAAAATACAAAAACTGCTCAAAATTAGCTTCTTTATCAAGTGAGTTCCAGGGATCTACCACGTCCACAACATTACCATTGAAATTCTCAAAAAATCACCTTAGTCAGTAAACGAAAGCGAAGACAAATGATCCAGTGACACGATGTGCAATTCTAATCTGAGTGTTTCAATGCCTCACTAAGTAACGGAAGAAGTCTTAAAAAGAGGCGGAAAGTATATTCTACAAGTACCCAGAAAATATGAAGTTCACAAACACACAAATCGAGTTTATTTATACATCATAGAAAAGTCCTTCGGAGAGCCACAAAACTGGCATACTAAAATAATGCACCAATCAATAACAGTCAAGGATTTTCCTGAGTGAGAAATGTAATCTCAAGGTCAACTGATCAACACATGCGCGAAAACACAAAAAAACACTCAAAATTAGCTCCTTTATCAAATGAGTTCCAGGGATCTACCGCGTCTCCAACATTACCATTGAAATTCTCAAAAAATTAAAATCTATTTCTACATTTTTTAACACAAAATGTATATACATTTCAACTTACAATCTTTCCATCATTTCTAAATGAGCGGTTATTTCAAATTCTAAACACCATTGATATGCAGAATTAACAATTTTTCCCTTGTTCTTGTTCTTATTATGATGATGATGAAAATTGTTTAAATTTTCCATATCGATTAAATCACGTCGATTCATTTCATTAATTAAACTTTGACTAAATTTATTACGTAAATTACGACACATATCATTTAAATAGATGGAATGTTCTTGGAAATTGATTGGATCTAAATATGATTGTGTACAATGAATTTGATCATTCAATGTGATCAATGCGGATTTTTCTAATTCATAATAAAATTGATTATTAGCTGGTACCTAAATAGATTTTTTTCCCGATAAAATTAAAAAGAATAACTCATTAAAAACTAGAATATTCATTAAAGAATTGTGAAGATGATTGTATTTGCATTGATATGATGAATTGGTCATTGATAGTCTACTACTAACAACCTGCAAGTACTGGATGGCTGTTTGATGCTAGTAGTGTGGTGCGAGCTACTTATAAGTAGTATATGACGTGAGTGTCAACGTAATGTCTGGCAGCAGAAGATGGGGGAAGATCAAGAAAGGAAGAGTTAGAACACAATGGAATTTGTATGAAACGCATGAATAGTGACAATGGATTGATGTTTTGCAACAGGAACAGTCCTCCAGTTCGATATGATGAACTGATATATTTTGCAAATGAACAATTTACGATATGGTTTTTCCCGATTTCACTGAGTAACTCTGTAATTTTCGTTAAATACAATTCGGTTGCCCTCACCTGTGTTCTCGTTCACTACAGTAGGCGACTTATCAGCAGTACATATCCATGACTCTCACTAGCGGGATTCGAGCTCAAAGACATTGTCTCACGCTCTTGAATGCTTAACACCTAGATCACTGTGCTTGCTAGTGACTAACTTAGTGAACGAAATTCTTTTATTTCTAATTAGAAGATGTGAGCAGTGTGTTGGGAACGTTAGATCCCTAGAACTCACTTGATAAAGGTCCTAATTTGGGATTTTTTGTTTTCGAGCGTAGGAAGATCAGTTGACCTTGACATTACATTTCCTACTCGAGAAAATCCTTGACTGTCATTGGTTGATGGGTTGTTTTAGTATGCTATTTTTGTGGCTCGCCCAAGAATGTTTCTATCATGTATAAATAAACTCGATTTGTGTACTTCTGAACCTCATATTTTATGCGTGTTTGTAGAATACACTCTCTACTTAGTGGAGCACTGGGACGCTCGGATTAGAGTAGCCTATCGTGTTACAGGATCATTTGTCTTCGTTGTCGTTTAGCGAGCATTACTTACTTACTTACTTACTTTCGCCTGTTACCCCCAATGGAGCATAGGCCACCCACCAGTTTTCTCCAACCAACTCTGTCCTGGGCTTCCCTCTCCAGTTCTGTCCAATGTTTGTTCATTCCTCTCATATCTTTCTCTATTTCACGGCGTAATGTATTCTTTGGCCTTCCTCTTTTCCTTTTACCTTGAGGGTTCCATGTGAGGACTTGTCTCGTGACGCAGTTAAGTGCTTTTCGTAGAGTGTCCTATCCACTTCCACCGCTTCTTCCTGATTTCCTCCTCCACTGGAATCTGACTTGTTCTCTCCCACAGTTCGTTGTTGCTGATGGTGTCTGGCCAACGAATACGAAGTATTTTACGTAGACAGCTGTTAATAAACACTTGTATCTTCTGGATGATGGCTTTGGTAGTTCTCCATGTTTCCGCTCCATACATTAGAACTGTCTTGACATTTGTATTGAAAATCCTTATTTTGGTGTTGATTGATATCTGTTTGGAGTTCCAGATATTTTTCAACTGTAGAAATGCAGCCCTCGCTTTGCCAATCCGCGCCCTCACATCTGCGTCCGATCCACCTTTCTCGTCGATGATGCTGCCAAGATATGTGAAGGTGTTAACGTCCTCCAAGGTATCTCCATCAAGCGTGATTCGGTTGGTGCATGTTGTGTTGCATCGGAGAATTTTGCTTTTTCCTTTATGTATGTTGAGACCTACTGCTGCAGAGACTGCTGCTACACTGGTCGTCTTCTCTTGCATTTGTTGTTGAGTGTGCGATAGAAGAGCCAGGTCATCTGCGAAGTCCAGATCGTCCAGCTGCGTCCTAACTGTCCAGTTGATACCGTGCTTCCCTACAGATGTTGACGTCTTCATAATCCAGTCGATGACCAGGAGAAAGAGAAAGGGTGAGAGTAAGCAACCTTGCCTGACACCGGTCTTCACCTCAAAAGAGTCTGTCAGCTGACCTCCGTGTACGATTTCGCAGTTGAATCCATCATAAGAATTCCGTATGATGTTGACTATTTTCTCAGGCACACCGTAGTGTCGAAGAAGCCTCCACAGTGTTTTCCTATCCACGCTGTCAAATGCTTTCTCGTAGTCGATGAAGTTGATGTAGAGTGGTGAGTTCCATTCAATTGATTGTTCCACAATGATCCGTAATGTAGCAATTTGGTCAGTACATGATCGATCCTTACGAAATCCAGCCTGTTGATCTCGAAGTTGGGCGTCTACGAAGTCCTTCATTCTGTTTAACAATACTCTGTTGAAGACTTTGCCTGGTATTGAAAGAAGAGTGATGCCTCTGTAGTTTTCACACTTGCTGAGATCGCCTTTCTTTGGTATTTTGATGAGGTATCCTTCTTTCCAATCTGATGGTACTTGTTCCTCATCCCAAATCTTCTTGAAGAGGATGTGAAATATTTTCGCAGTTGCATCTACATCTGCTTTCATTGCCTCTGCTGGAATGTTGTCTGGTCCTGCTGCTTTGCCGTTCTTGATTTGTCTGATGGCCATACTGATCTCCTCAATCGTAGGTGCGCCAATATTAATTGCGAGGTCCGTAGATGCTGCTTCGATGTTGGGTGTCTTCAGAGGAGCTGGTCGATTTAGGAGTTCCTTAAAGTGCTCTACTCACCTATTTCGCTGTTGTTCAGTGTTGCTGATTACTTTGCCTTCCTTGTTTTTCACTGGTCGTTCTGGTTTACGATAGTTTCCGGCGAGCTTCTTTGTAGTTTCATACAATTGTCTCCAGTTTCCGTCTCTTGCAGCCTTCTCCGCCGTCGTTGCTAGATCTTCCACGTATTTTCGTTTGTCAGCTCTGATGCTCTTCTTCACTTCCCTGTTTGCTTCTGTGTATGCAGCTTGTGCGGAAACTTTCTCCGCTCTTGTTCGGCTGACATTGATTGCTGCTTTCTTGTTCCTCCTTTCTTCAATTTTTGAGAGAGTATCAACAGAGATCCATTCCTTATGATGCTGCTTCTTGCGACCAAGGACCTCCTGACATGTTGAAGTGATTGCCTCCTTAATCCCTTTCCAATTGTTCTCCAATGTTGTGTCCTCTCCATTGTGTAGATCCTGAAAGGCCTGGAACCTATTGGTGAGGGCTATCCTGAATTCGTTGAGCTTTACAGTATCCCGAAGAAAGGCCGTATTAAACTTGTGTGATGTTGTCTGTCCCGTTGTCCAGTGCTTCTTTAGTTTCAGTTTCATTTTGGCGATTAGCAAATGGTGATCTGAGGCTACATCAGCTCCTCTCCTGGTTCTCACATCCTCCATAGTCCTTCTGAACTTTTTGTTGATACAGATATGATCAATCTGGTTTTGAGTAGTGTGATCCGGTGAAATCCATGTAGCTTTGTGTATGCGTTTGTGCGGGAATATTGTGCCACCGATGACCAGTTTGTTGAAGGCACATAGGTTTGCAAATCTCTCACCGTTTTCGTTCCTTTCTCCCAGTCCATGTCGTCCCATGATGTCTTCATATCCAGTGTTGTCCATTCCAACCTTGGCATTCAGGTCTCCCATAAGAATCGTCAAATCCTTTGGTGAACATTTCTCGACGATTGACTGCAGCCTTTCGTAGAATTGATCTTTGTCGTCGTCATTGTAGTCGTTGGTAGGTGCATAACATTGGATGACGTTCATTGTAATGTCCTCTTTCTTTGTTTTGAAGGATGCTTTAATGATCCTGGGTCCATGAGATTCCCATCCTATTAGTGCCTTTTGTGCATGTTTGGACAGCATCAATGCAACTCCTTGTGTATGTGAAGCATTTTCCTCTTCATGACCAGAGTATAACAGCAGTTCTCCTGAAGCTAGTCTCAGTTGTCCTACTTGTGTCCAATGTGTTTCACTGATTCCAAGCACCTCGAGGTTGTATCTTTTCATTTCTGCCGCAACTTGAAATAGTCTTCCAGTCTCCCACAATGTACGAACGTTCCATGTACCTAAAAAAATGGTTGCTCTGGTTGTCAGAAGAGGCATCAGCCCCGTGACTTCCGAGGGAACTCGGCTTTCATCACGCGACGTCATAATTCTTCCTCCAACTCCCAGGGCAGAGTTAAAATGGTTTGAATTATTTTTTCTGGTTAGCGTTTTTTTGGCAAGTGAGATTTCGACGGAATGGGGTCTCCAACCCGATGTCCAACCCTCCTCCTTTACCCGGGCTTGGGACCGGCAGTAGCCCCGAAGGTTCTACTGGCGGAGTTGTTTAGCGAGCATAATTCAGTAGAATTCAACCCTGTTGGGTATAGGCAGTCACCGACAGAAGACAATGGGTTAGGTTGCTCAAAATCCGTAGATTGATCAAAGCTAGACATTTACACCACTGGATGCCATCTCTAGCTCGTGAAGGCTTAACCTCTAGATCACTGTGCTAACTGATGACTAGCATTGTGAGAGTAATTCTCGTAGTTCTAGTGAGAATTCATCGTCAGTGGCGTTCAACCCTGTCACTGCTCACCGAAGACAACTGGTGAGATTGAGCAATACTTTAAATCAATAAAATTTAGTCATTAACTGAGTTGGATGCTAGCTCAGTGGTCAAGAGGTTATGAGCTCGCATGAGAGATCAAATGTCGTAGGTTTGATTATGTCGAGCAGGACTTGTAGTTGCTCACTGTTGTTAAGTCCCATACTAGAACGAAATGGCTATCTAGTGCTTGCAGGTTTCTAATGGTGGTCGAACATTGGTCGATTTTATGATTTCAATAAAACAGTAAAATAATCAGTAATTTTTAAAAAATGACAAATTTCAATTTATATTAGGATTATGATATGCTTAGTTCAGTTCATAGTTAAATGGTAATCTTAAAACATGAGATAATTCACTATACTGATAAAGATTTATATTCTAGATAGATAAACGTCGGGGATGTTAGATGTTAGATTCCCCTATTTTGGGTTTCACGTTTGTGAGCATGGGCCGATCAGCTGACCTTGAGATTTCATTTCCCACCAGGAAAATCCATGGCTGTGATTGGCTGCTGTGTATTCTAGTGTGCTATTTTTGTGACTTTCCCAAGGACGTTTCTATGATGTATTAATAAACGAGAGTTGTGTGCTTGATTGGATTGAGCTTGCTGAGTGTTGTAGAATATATTTTCTACGCTTATCACAACTTCTGTTTTAAAGTCGGGTATTCAAAGTCGCCTACCTGGACGCTGGTTGATTGTCTCGTTCACGTTTATCGACTAAGGTTAACTCGTAATAGCTTCAAGCGAACCTAGTGACGAACTTAACAATAAATTTGTTCAAACTGAATTTTCTCAAATAGGCAGTTAAATTGTAAAGTTTTCATTTTATTTCTAGACAACATTTTTATTCAGATATAAAAATCAAAATCGAAATAAGCGTCCATAACAACTCGTCAACTTCAAGGTTGACAGACTGAACTACTAGCTACACATAGAGAGATTCTCATAGTCCATTTCTATTCCAGGTGTTTGTTACGCATGCATGTAAACATGTCAATTTGATATGCTTGAACTATTACGAGTTTACCTTAGTCAGTGAACAAGAGCGTGGATCGAGGATCTGTTGAAACGACAGGCTACTCTAATCCGAGTGATCCAACCCCCGCCCCCATTGATTAGAAGAAGATTTGATATGAAGTAAAACCTGTATTCTACAAACATCCGAAAAGTACGAGGTCTGAGTCCAGAAGAGAATCAGAATCTCGGACCAGGGATCCTGATCCGGGTCCGGGTCATAAAATGTCACAGATAATGCATAGGTCGAATACGAAATAACATTGAAGTCTGTGACATAATATTGACCAATAGGAATCGACCAATAGAATTAGACTTACAAAAATAATCCTCTTAGGATATTTGATGAATATCCTAACACATTAGATCTCCAAAACTCACTTGGAAAAGATCCTAATTTTGACTTTTTTTCTTTCCATGTTTTCGCGCATAAGTCGCTATCGTTGTATAAATAAACTTAATTTGTGTGCTTAGGAACCTTGAATTTTCTGGGCGCCTGTAGAATACATTCTCTCTACGCCCTATCAAGACTTCTTGCCCTTGGTAGCGAGGCCTGGGACAATCGGATTAGAATAGCCTATCATATCACTGAATCATTTCTCTTCGATTTCGTTTTAGCGACTAAGGTGAACTCGTAATAGTAGTTTCAAGCATATCAGGGCGATTAAACCTCCAATCGCAAAGTTGGCGTCAAACAGTTAAAATGATTGATTTCAATTAAATCTAGGTAATTTTCGACCGTCACCTATTGACTACAGTTAGAAATGGACACCTTTAAATACTAAAATCAACGATTACTGGGTTTAGGGATTACCATGATAACTCAGGGCTCTGGGTTTGATCCTCTATGAATTTCTGACTGGATACACTTGAGAAGTTCTACACTATGAAATATCATCTAGCCAATTCTTCAAATTTAAAAAAAATTCTTTTACTGATATCACTTTATGATGTAAACTACAATGTGTTAGTTGTTTCATAGCGATAATCGTATCATTTAAAATAATTGTTATTTATAATGGGTGTCAATCGATTGCATTCAATAAGATGTGACCACTTAAGTTCAATCGTGTCGGGTGCGGGGGGATTACCCATGAAGATAAAGGATGATAGTTGAGAATATCATGGACTAATCCAAGTAAGACAATAACACCATTGGATTGTGGCCTGAGTGCGAGATCGAAGATCCTAGATTCGATCCCCACCCACGAGGGTTGTCTGTGTGCACTCCTGATGAGATGTTCCATACTAAGATGAAACAGTCACTCAGTGCTTCTATGTTCTCAATGGTAATCTAACAATGATTCAATGATTCTCAACAAACACCTGTTACGCTTGCACGTAAACACGTCAGATTGATAAACTCAAACTATTACAAGTTTACCTTAGTCGGAAAACGAGAGCGAGGATTTAGGATCCGGCGACACGACATGCTACTCAAATCCGATTATCCCAACTCCCATATTGAGTAAAAATAAGACAAGACTTGATATGAAGTAGAACCTGTATTCTACAAGCATCCAGAAAGTACGAGGTCCGAGTCCAGAAGAGAATCAGGATCTCGGACTAGGGATCTGAGACCGGGTCCTGATTCTTGTCATAAAACGTTACAGATAATGCGTATTTATACATTTTTGTCGAATAGGAAACAGCATCGAATTCTGTGCGATTGACAGTTAAGACGACTAATAGGAAGCAACATTCGAAATGACATTGATAGTCAGGACAACCAATAGGAAACAACATTGGAGTACGTGACATTGATATCTAGGACGACCATAAAATAACCAGTAGGAATTAACCAATAAGAATTGAACAATAATTATCTTAGGAAATTGGATGAATATCCTAATACCACCTCAACCCTCTACTGACAATGATTACAAATATTTACTTATATATTCAGTTGCTTCACTGAATAATCATCTTGAAATTACACTGAAGAGCATCTAGATTACGTTTATTGAATTACTGATCATCAATGAATCAATTATTAGACCACCATCAAAAACCTGCAAGTATTGGATGGCCGTTTTTAGTCCTGGTATGGGACTTAGAAGTAGTGCGCATCCACAACTCCTGCTACTTGCAGGTCAAGCTCGCGAACGTCTAACTTCTGGACCACTGAGGAGGCCGGCGTCCAACGGTGCTAAACCCTAACTTTGGTCAATCTAAGGATTCTGCTCAACCTCATCCATTTGTCAGATAGATAGATAGCTGCCTACACCTGACAAGGTTGAACTCCACCGGTCATGACTTCTCACTAGGACTCACAGAATTTCGATCACAAAGCTAATCACTAGTGAGCACACTTTACGATTTTTCAATTAAAGTGTAGGGTTCGTCACTTGGTACGCTTGAAGCTATTACGAGTTCACATTAGTCGATAAACGCGAACGAGACAATTGCCAGCGTCCAGGTAGGCTACCTTGAATCCTAAGCCGAAGATAGAAGGCTTTGTAAGAGTAGAAAGTATATTCTACAAACACCCACCAATCACACAATACAATCAAGCACACAGCTCTCGTTTATTTATACATCATAGAAACGTCCTTGTGACAGTCACAAAAATAGCCAATCACAGACATGAATTTTCCCTGATGGGAAATGAAATCTCAAGATCAACTGATCAGCCCATGCTGGAAAACGTGAAATCCAAAATAAGGCATTTAACCAGAGAGTTTTGAGGATCTAACATCCCCAACATAAAGTTATGGAGATTAATGTTTTATTGCACATTGAACTCATCAGTCAATCATGGTTGGACCAATATTAGAAACCTGAAAGCACTGGACAGTCATTTCGTCTTGCTATGGAACTCATCAGTAGCACTGAGCATCAACGACTCCTACACGTCGCAGGATTCGAACCCAAGACCTTCGGTCTTGCGTGTGAATGCCCAACCTCTGAACCACTGAACCAGCCGGCATCCAATGGTATTAATGTGTAACTTTGATCAATCTAAGGATTCTGCTCAACCTCATCCATTTGTCTTTGATAGATAGCTCCCTCTGATCATATCTTCTCACTAGAAGTCTGATATACTCGTCAACTTATATGATTGAAACTATTACGAGTTCAATTTTGACGGTAAACGAGAGCGAAAACAAATGATCCATTGACACGATAGGCTACTCTAATCCTAACATCTCAAGGTCCCACTAAGTAGGGGGAGAGGTTTTGATATGGAGTAAAAAGTGTATTCTAAAAGCACCCGGAAAATATTTCAAGCACACAAATCGAGTTTATTTATACAACATGATAGAAACTTCCTTGGGAGAGTCATAAAATACTGTACTAAAATATTCCATGAACCAGTGACAGCCAAGGATCTTCCGGGTGGGAAATATAATCTCAAAGTCAACTGATCAGCCCATACGCGAAAACACAAAAAATCCCAAATTTAGGACCTTGATCAAGTGAGTTCTAGGGATCTAATATCCCCAACAGACTACGAGAAGTTCACTCACGCAGCTATTCATGATTTCTGTGTGTGTAGGTGTGTGTGCAAAAACAATCATCTCCATCACTCTAATTAACAAAATATTTTAGTTAATTATTATTTACACGTATTGCAGTGCCTCCACGTATATTCTAGTTCGTTTACATTGAGTTTGGTTAAGCCCTTTCTATTAATCTATTTAACCAAGCCATTTTGTATTGCAACAATTTATAATGTACCATTCGTTCTTATTATTGTCTGGTTTGTATGATGAGCTCACATAACGTGTCCCACATTCATTTGGCCTTGTCAATCATTCGTCGCTTTTATTCATGTATGCCTATTTCGCTTGTCACATGTCTGTCGTATATTTGTCTGACTATATATTCTTAGTCATACTCTATCTCTTGGAGTTGGCTCATTAGCCTTCTCCACATCTCTTCCTTCACCCGTTCGTTCACATTGTAATCCTACGAGTTGGCTCAACAACCCTCTTCAATTCACGTCACTTCATTCGTTTTATTCACTGGTTCTCCGCTTCACTTTATGGTGTGTCCAAAAATAAACGTATTAAACACTACGAGTTCGCCTTCTGATTTATAAACCATCAGACGCTAATTAGTAACGATTGTCTAGACGAGCTAATTACCACCGAGCTTTAGAAGAACACGCAATAAAATCGACACACTACAGTATTATAATCAGCATTCATCATACTTACTTTTAATCTTGCCCAATTTACAAGTAATTTAGCTCTAGTTAATGACACATCAAAAGCATTAGAAAGAAATTCATTTTTCATTGAATTCAATGTACTACTACTAAATGGACTAGTAGTATTGACCACTGAACGTATAGTTGACCATGATACTAATGACATGGAACGTGATCTCCACCAATCTGTTGTACTAATTGAATTCTCATTCTCATTAGATGAATGTTTCAATTGACTTCTTTTGGAATCATGTTGTTGATGATGGCGTATATGAACAAAACAATCGGAATTTAATTCATCATTTTCTAAAATCATCTCAATTTTACGTTCAATTTCTAATGAAAAAAAGGGAGAAAACATTTGTCTAATCAGACTAGAAGAATCAGTTAAGGAAATCACAGGAAAAAAGAATGCCTCATTAAAACATATTTTCAATGATCAAGGATGTAATTGATAGGTTTTGTGTGTGTGTGTGTGTTAGGATATTCATTCAATATCCTGAGAGAATTATTGGTCAGTTCCTATTGGTCTATTTCTACTGGTCAATTTTATGGTCGTCACGTGCTCCAATGTTGTTTCTTATTGGTTTTCCTGACTATCACTGTCACGTGCTCTAATGTTTCTTCCTATTGGTCAACTTAACTGTCAATGTCACAGACTTCGATGCTGTTTCCAACTCGACCTAACCGTATATATACGCATTATCTGTAACATTTTATGAGCAGAACCAGGACCCTAGTCCAGGATACTGATTCTCTTCTGGATTCGGACCTCGTACTTTTTAGATGCTTGTAGAATACAGGTTCTACTTCATATCAAGTCTTCTTATTTTCTACTCAATATGGGAGTTGGCATAATCGGATTTGAGTGGCATGTCGTGTCACGGGATCCTGGATCCTCGCTCTTGTTCACTAAGGTAAACTCGTAATAGTTTAAGTATATCAAGTTGACGTGTTTATGTGCAAGCGTAACAGATTGTTGTCCTCACTATCGGTTTGTCAATTCTATTGTGTCCTAAAGTTACGTTAAGCATTGTAGATTTAAAAATATTCTATTACAAATTAGACTAATTTTCAATAGTAACCTTTTCTTTCTAAGCTCCTGACTTCTCACTAACTTCACTACTTTAAAGGATTCTTGTTGTAATTTTGAATGAATCGTTTGGTTGATCAAGTTCTTATAGATTCTAGAATATTCTAGAACATTCTCCTATACGTTCGTTTCTTGAAATGACTGTATGCTAATTCAATACACAGTTGTGACATTGATTAAATGCAGTGAAATTACAATATTCTATCATATAATAAATCTTATCTATGCTAGCCTTTCGATTTCTTTCAACGTTCCAGGCTCAGCAATGTGTTGATTTTTAAGTAACATATACTGATGACAAGTCGTGCTGCGAACTAAAAGAACAAATCGAGTAACAATTTATCACATTCCGTTTGATTAATTAACAAAAATTAAAACTATTCAGTCTAAAATGCGATCTTTGGCGGTGGATATTTGACGTGATTCTTAAAGGTTGTAGACTGCTCGTCCCTGATAACTAAGAAAAGATAATGCTCAATGGTGTATAAAACTCAGAACAGAAAAAAGATGCATGGATGACGTGTATTATCCCACCACACTGAATACAAAATCACGGGCAAACAAAGAGGAAGTGAAATGACATACAAATGCCGCAGGGCCTATGAATAGCATTAAAATCTACACATAAAATGAATCAGTCATCGGATTATTTAAGCAGCTGACCAAACAGCTGGTAGAATCAGTATTTGAGTTGGCTATAACCAAAGGCCTTAAGCCAACACGCTCATACAAATGTGACAATGATAAAAGTACAAATGGTATAGACAGGATTGTTTCTGTTCGTATGAAGCTAATCTCTGTTGAAGTAAGCTAATAAAAAAGGGCTCAACCAAATGAAACATAAAACAAACTGAAATGTATGTCAAATGCTGTAAATCCTAATGGTACCTTACGGTGAAAGAATATCAAATTGTTAGGATATTCGTCCAATATCCTGAGAGAATTATTGGTCAATTCCTACTGGTTGATTCCTATTGGTCAATTTTATGGTCGTCCTAGATATCAATGTCACGTATTCCGATGTTGTTTCTCATTGGTCGTCCTGACTATCAGTGTCGTTTCAAATGATTTTTTCTATTGGTTACAGACTTCGATGCTGTTCCTTATTCTACCTAAATGTATAAATATGCATTATCTGTAATGTTTTATGACCCGGACCAAGATCCTCAGTCCGGGATCCTGGTTCTCCGCTGGACTCGAGTCTCGTACTTTGTGGATGCTTGTAGAATACAGGTTCTACTTCATATCATGTCTTCTTCTTTTACTTAATTGGGGTTTGGGACACTCGGATTAGAGTAGCTTGTCGTGTAGCTGGATCCTCGATCCTAGCTCTCGATTTCCGACCAAGGTAAACACGTAATAGTTCAAGCCATATCAAATGACGTGTTCATTATGCAATCGTAACAAAAAGTTAGGACAAACCCTGTAGTCGCTTTACATAAAAACTACACACCCTAAAATATTTCAAAAACACTTACTTACCTGACTGAAAAGTAGCATATTTTTCTTCTACGTCGTTAGATAATTTTTCAGACATATCAGTTGGTCTACTTGAATTAGGCGGCATAGAATCGTTACGTGAATGAATTGTTTCAGTATTCGGTGTTGTAATTTCCATATCAGATAAACGATATGTAGTGTTGGATGAAGCAGTGATTTGATGATCTCGATTAGCAAAACGCATAAGTAAACATCGTATTCTATGTGAATCATTTAGCCAAGATTTTAATTCAGCTTGACGTATATTCTGATCATCGAAACATATGATTCCAGGTAGAATATGGCTTAAGTAATGGAAATTTTTAGAATATTCAGAGTTTTAAATGAAACCTGTATATGCGGTTAAATAAAATATCTATAAGTTCAGTAACAAGGTATTTTGTTTATCTTGTAGTGCACTGACGAGCGAATGCGCGAAAGAATGAACGAAGCAGCGAATAAAACGAATGAACCGATGTGAATTGGAGAAGGCTGTTGAGCCAACTCCAAGAGATAGAGCATGACTAAGAATATATATTTTTTAAACCATGAATCGATCAGTGTTAGACCACCATAGGAAACCTGGAAGCACTGAAAGACGGCCGTTTCGTCCTGGTATGGGACTCCTCAGCGGTGCGCATCCACGACTCCTGCACCCCGCAGGATTCCAACCCAGGACCTTCGGTATTGTGCACGAACGCCCTAACCGTTAGATCACTGAGCCGGTATCCAACGGTGTTAATGTCTAACTTGATCAAATTCACGGAGTTGCGCAACCTCATACACAGTCTTCGGTAGACACTGCCTACACCCAAACAGGCTGAACTTCACTGGTCATGTCTTCCCACTAGAACTCGGAGAAGATTCCTCACGAAGCTAGTCACTAGTGAGCACAGGTAATTTACATTAGGGGTTTGTGAAGATTGTTAAGTTACACATTTTTGAAACCATGAATCGATCAATGTTAGACCAACATTAGAAACCTGGAAGCACTGAAAGACGGCCGTTTCGTCCTGGTATGGGACTCCTCAGTAGTGCGCATCCACGATCTCAAAAATCTTCTTAAAATAAATGTGCATACATGACTTCTGCATGAAAGGGTTGTGGAGATTGTTGAGTTACTGTATTGAAGTCATGAATCGATCAGTGTTAGACCATCATTAGAAACTTGCAAGCACTGAGCGGCTATTTCGTTCTAGTATGAGACACATCAGACGTGAGCATCCACAACACCTGTTTGCAGGAATTGGAGCCAGAACTTTTAGTCTTGCACATGAACGCTTAACTTATAGACCACTGAGCCGACATCCAATCGTATTAATGTCTAACATCAGTCAATCTATAGTATTGTTCAACGTCTTTCATTATCTTTGGTTTTAATTTAAATTCTATATGGTCAGTTTAATAGATAAGTATCTAGAATATAGTCATGCAAATCAAAATTTCATTGATACTGTGGTAGAGACCTTTGATTTGATAGGGGAGATTAGCGACTCAGGTAGATGCTATCAGAGTTGTTGTGTTCTCTGAGTTACTTACTTACTTACTTATGCCTGTTACCCCCAATAGAGCATAGGCCACCGACCAGTATTCTCCTACCTACTCTGTCTTAGGCCTCCCTTTCCAGTTCTGTCCAATTTTTGTTCATTCTTCTCATGTCTGTCTTCATTTCTTGGCGTAATATGTTCTTTGGCCTTCCTCTTTTCCTTTGACTTTGAGGGTTCCAAATAAGGACTTTCCTCAATATGTGTCCGATCCACTTCTAGAGCTTCTTCCCGATTTCTTCCTCCACTGGGATCTGGTTTGTCCTGTCTCACAGTAGGTTGTTGCTGATAGTGTCTGACCTAAGTGTTTTGAGTAGAAAACTGTTAATGAACTCTTGTATCTTCTGGATGATGGCTTTCGTAGTTCTCCAAGTTTCCACCCCATACAGTAGCAATGTCTTGACATTTGTATGGAACATCCTTATTTTGGTTTTGGTTGACAGTTGTTTTGAGTTCCAGATGTTGTTCAATTGTAGAAATGCAGACCTTGATTCACCGATCCATGCCTTCACCTCTGTATCAGATCCACCTTACTCATCAACGATGCTGCCCAGATATGTAAACGCTTACCCATATCTTCGAAATCCTCTGCTTCAAGTGTAATTTGGTTGGTACATGTTGTGTTGTATCGGAGAATGTTGCTTTTCCTTTTATGCATGTTGAAACCTGTTACTGCAGAGGCTGCTGTTTCACTGATCGTCTTTTCTTGCATTAATTGTTGCGTGTGCAATAAAAGAGCCAGTTCATCTTCGAGGTCTAGATCACCCAGTTACATGTTAGCTCTCCACTGTACTCCATACTTCCCCCCAGATGTTGCCATCTTCATAATCCAGTTGATCATTCAACAGGGAGAGAAAGGGTGAGAGTAAGCAACATTACCTGACACCGATCTTCACCTAGAACGATTCTGTGAGCTGTCCTCTATGCATGACTGTGCAGTTTAATCCAACCTGAGAATTCTGTATGAGTTAAATGGTTTAATCGATAAGCTCTCACTGTTATACCAAATAATTAGTGTATATGACAACACATCACAAAAATTATAATCAGAACAAACTGATCTAATGTTTGTGGAAGAGTTCATTTGTGCATTAAAATGGGCATCGATAATATTGTTGTTAAAATATCCATTAAATATCTTAAGAGAATTATTTTTCCAAGTCTAATTCTATTGGTCAATTCGTACTGATCAATATTATGATCGTCCTAACTATCAATGTCACATACTTCAATGTTGTTTCCTATTCTGCCTAAATGTATAAATATGCTTGCCTGTAACCTTCTGATGATCCGGACCCGAACCGGGATCCTGATTCTCTTGTGGACTCGAACCTCGTAGTTTCTGGATGTTTGCAGAATACAGGTTCTACTTCATATCAAGTCTACTTCTTTTTTTATTCAATGGGGGTTTGGGACGCTTGGATTAGAGTAGCCTGTCGTATCACCGGATCCTCGATCTTCGATCTCGTTTTCCGATTAAGGTAAACTCGTTATAGTCCATGCATATCAAATGACGTGGTCACATGTACTTGTAACAATTGTCCAAAATGGTAATGTCATCTAAATACAAACAGGGATCATTTGTAAGATGACCAATGGAGTTCAACCCTGTCGGGTACAGGCAGTAACTACCAAAGACAAATGGATGAGGTCGCGCAAAATCCCTAGACCAATCAGAGTTAGACATTAACACCATTGAATGCCGGCCCAGTGGTCCGATGGTTAGGCATTCGTGCACAATACCAAAGGTCTCGGATTTCAATCCTGCGAGGGGCAGGAGTCGTCGGTGCGCACTGCTGATAAATCCCATATCAGGACGAAACGGCTATCCAGTGCTTCCAAATTCCTATTGGTAATCTAACAATGATTGGCTGATGATTTCAAATGTATAGTAACAATTTTTGTCGAAAATTTAAAATCACTATTCAAACATACCTAACTGATTGTAAATAAGAAATATTTAATTGAGAATTTGGAATAGGACGATACCATTTGTCTAAAATATCTGGATTCAATGTACGAATTATTTCACTTTTTTGACGTATTGCATCTTCAATTTGTGTCATTTGAATTGGTGTAATATTGGAAATTTTCGAAATGGTTCGTTTACTTGATGTCACATCACTTACAGGGGATAGATTAGGCTAAAAATAAGAAATCGACAGATAGATGCGTTCGAATTAGAAGTGGAAATCAATTGGCAAAGTAAATCAACTTCAATCTATATTATCATTGACATGTGTTGAGTGTAACACTATGAAAGTGATGTTGAGATGAGGGGGGAAATGCTGTAGCTCAGTTGGATGATTGTGGTGGTGGTGTTTCGTTCTCTATGATCTGGATCTTTCGGTTGAGAAGCATTCATCATCGTTCTTCTTCTGAACAACACCATTGTCAGCACAAAATTCAGGCAGACGAAGTGAAGAATTCGAATTTCTATACTTTCAGGTAGAGTTATGGAGATTAGTGTGTTTACACATTTGAAATCATTAATCAATCATTGTTAGATTACCATTAGAAATTTGGAATCACTGGACAACCGTTTCGTCCTGGTATGCGAATCATCAGCAGGGCGCATCCACGACTCCTGCACCTCGCTGGATTCGAACCCGAGACCTTCGGTGTTGTGCGCGAACGCCTAACCTTTGAACGATTAGGCCGGCATCCAGCGGTTTATAGCTTGTTCTGCTAACCTCGATCTTGATTGTTTGCTGTTATTGACCTTAAATCTGTCGTTGTTTGCACCTTTGTTTTGATTGTATTCCCCCTTTGGTTTATTTCTTGATCCTATGTCACCTATGATTTTTTTGATTGGTTGATTAATTGGGTTAATGTCCATGTGTTTGTTGATTGCTGATTGACCTGAGTGACAAGCTTCTAAAAATTCTCCAGTGTTCTTTGTCCTCCCCCTATTCAGTATTTTCACATTGTCCCAGTCGAATGGAGTATGTTCATAATTGTCCGTGTGTATTGATATAAGCGAAGAATTCTCGTGTCGTTTGACTGCTAATTGGTGTTCACGTAAACGGAGCTGACGAGGCTGTCCACTTTGTCCTATGTAGTGTTTTTCAAAGTCTGAGCAATTTATTTTGTAGATGGGATATTTGGTGTTTCTTCCTTTGTCATTTTGTCCTTTGGTCTACAACATAGGATTTATTGAAGTGATTCTGTTGGTTTGCGTGCTACACCTATTCCAAATGATTTCATTAGTCGTGCTGTATGCTCCGATATGTCTTTTATGTATGGTGGGATGATCCGTTTACTAGTTCCTGTACTTGATTTCGCCTTTGTTGACGATGTAAATGGATGGAAAATGTATCTAGAAGTTAAACGAATCTTGCTAATTTTGCATTAGATTTTTACGGAGATCACAGTTTTACCTAGTAATTATCAGTGAATTATTGTTAGATGAATATGAGAAACCTGGAAGCACTGGACTGTCGTTTCGTCCCACTGTAAAACTCATCAACAGTGCAGATCCATGACTCCTGCCACTCACATGATTCGAACCCAAGATCTTCAGTCTAGAGTGGGAACACTTAACCTCTGGACCGCTGAACCTGCATCCAACAATGTTAATGTCCAAACGTCCTGGGTTCGAATCATCCAAGTAGTAGGAGTCGTGAATATGCACTGCTGATGAGCTCCATACCAGGACGAAACGGCTGTTCAGTGCTTTCAGCATTCTAATGGTTGTCTAACGATGATTCTCAATCATGAATCTTCTTGAACTTCGAACAAAATCGATAATCTGATGGATGGAATCCAGAATGGTAGTTCAATCCCTTTTTTGTTTGTATCTGATATCCAGAGTTACTATTCACTTATAAACTCAAAACTAATAAAAATGCACTATCCAAAGGGCAACTAAGTCATTAACTTATTCAACTCATATAACATTTATATCATCATTAGCATGTATCCCCGTCACCAAAATGTTATATTCGTCACTAGGTTCGCTTGAAGCTATTACGAGTTCACATTAGTCGATAAACGCGAACGAGACAATTACCAGCGTCCAGATAGGCTACCTTGAATCCCAAGCTGTAAACAAAAGGCTTGGTAAGCGTAGAAAGTATATCCTACAATACTCAGCAATCACAATGCAATCAAGCACACAACTCTCGTTTATTTATACATCATAGAAACGTCCTTGTGCGAGTCACAAAAATAGCACACTAAAATAACACAGTTCCCAATCACAGACAAGATCAACTGATCAGCCCATTCTCAGAAACATAAAATCCAAAATTAAGGCATTTATCAAGTGACTTCTGGTGATCTGACGTCCCCAACAATTATGAATTGACTGTGAACTATTGCATTTTGATGGAATGCTCTAAACGTAATACGCTCACTCCAAGACTTGATAAGGAGTCTTAAATAAGGGTGAGCCCATTTACCCTACTGATTATAATCTGCTTCAAAAATATTTCTTAATTCACTATGATAGATGGACAGATTAATACTATTTTCACGTAAATTTCACACTCTTATTATTCTTTTTTAGAACAAAACTATACTACTTATTGATATTGACTCAGTGGATCGTGAGGTTCTGTGGTATTGTCTGTCATTGAAAGGTGTACCAAAGAAGTACATTAACCTTATACAAGCTCTCTAGTCGAACACCACTGGTCGAGTGAGAGCTTATGGCGAACTGTCAACGGAATTCTTCATTTCAAGTGGTGTTCGACAGGGATGTCCACTTTCTCCATTCTTGTTTAATTTTATCATAGACATGCTGCTAGAAATAACCTTATCCTCGTCTGAATTTTCAGGAGTAGACCTTTTACCTGCTGGCTCGCTTATTGACTTAGAATATGCCGATGACATTTTCCCATTTGGTGAAGACGCTGACAAAATGCAGAGTCTTCTGACTACCCTAAGTAACAATGAAAGCATGTTCGGGATGCGGTTCTCACCCTCGAAATCCAAAATGTTGCTTGAAGATTGGGTTGCATCGCCACCTAAACTAGTGATAGGGAGTGAAGTAGTCGAACGTGTTGACCGCTTTACTTATCTTGGGAGTCTCATCAATGCTGATGGCCTGGTGACTGACGAAATCTCAGCACGGATACAGAAGGCTCGATTGGCTTTTGCCAACCTTCGTCACTTATGGCGTAGGCGAGATATCCGTTTGCTGACTAAAGGACGAGTGTACTGTGCAGTGGTTCGCTTCGTCTTACTTTATGGCTGTGAAACATGGCCAATCAGAGTAGAAGATATTCGTAGGTTACTGGTTTTCGATCAAAGGGGTCTTCGAAACATTGCTCGTATATCCTGGGATACCCGAGTGAGCGACGCTGTTATTAGGAATCGGGTGGTAGGTAAGAATGGCAGATCAATCGATGAAGTATTGAAACTTCATCAGTTGAGGTGGTTGGGACATGTGTTGTGCACGCCCAACCACCGACTGCCTCGTCGAGCTTTGTTTTGTAGTGTAGGAATAGGTTGGAAGAAAGTTAGGGGCGGCCAAACCAAAACATGACACAAATCCATGAAGTCATTGACAAGTGGACTTAGCCATGTCGGTAATTGTCGACTACCTGGTTGGGGTCCGCGAGATGATAATAATCGATGGTTAGAGACCTTGAATGACATGGCTCAAAATCGTTCGCAATGGTGCCAGTGCATTTATTCTTTGTGTTCTCTCAAATCCTAATCTTCTGGATTCTTCAACAACTCTAGTTTTGACTCTCTAAACTTTTCTCACTGAATCATATTTCTTGAATAATATCTTCTAATCCTAACATCTCCGATTACTTCTAATACCCTTACTAACTCTTCTACTATTGGATTTGAATTGAAAATTACATCTCTCTGTGCTGATGTGGTATGGCGACATGAACTTATGTACATACGTACGAAGTTCTATGTTGCAACTGACTGACTGACTCACTTATTGATATTCAATAGCTTATCTAATTATTAATCATTTTTAAAACAATGTAAATGTTACCTCTCAATTGCATTGAGTTGTTATTTATAGACAGATATCTAATTCATCATGCTATGAATGATACACTTCTGTTACATCTCCTTTTCGTTAGTGACATACAGTTCATTTGGAACAGCCATTTCTCATATTCTATGTTTTCTGCTTAAAATCTTCTACCGAACATCGTAGCTACAGCTAAAACTACCTGTTTCATAGGAGTCCAAAAAGGCCAACTTGAAAGAGTTTGAAAAGAAAGTGTAATAGAATAGTGATGACCAAACTGCTTCAAATATTGATTCCTGATTTTCGATTCTCTAATTCCTAGCACTATTATCATTGACCCTGATGAGTCATCGTAAAACATTCGACACATCCAATCAATTTGACATGATAAAATAACATGATCACAGTTCAGCATCCTTTAAATTCGATTGCAAAGTACCTTGCTGACTAGTGACTATCTCTGTGAGGAATCTTTTCCAAGTTCTATTGAAAAGTCGTTACCAGTGGAGATCAACCCTGTTCGAGTGTGGAGCAGTTCTCCTCGAAGACAATGGATGAGGTTGCGCAAGGCGGCGAATAGATCGAAGTCAAACATTGACACTGTTAGATACCGGATCAGTGGTCACGAGGTTAAGCGTTCTCATGCAAGACCGAAGGTCCTTGGTTCGTACCTGCAAGGTGCAAAAGTCATGGATATGCACTGCTGGTGATTCCCATACCGTTGCGAAACAGCCATCCAGTGCTTGTGGGCTTCTAATGATGGTTTAGATAAGGTCGGTTCAGGATTTTAAAAAAACATTTTACAATTATTTAATGAAATATCTTTGTTTACAAATAAGAACCAGTGCACAATTTATCATTCAAACAAAACTATTTACTTGTTTAATTGTTACCTCTTCTGGCAATGACCCCAATGATGTTTGTGAACTTAAATATTTCGATAGACGACGTTGTAGACGTGGACTATCAAATCCAGGCAATTTTTCTGATAACCTAGTTATTTCTGATTTGATCTCTTCAATTTCTTCTAATGCATAATGTTTAATTTGTTTGATTAAACTATTTGGAAGATATTTTGGTAACTGAACAATTGGACCAACTGAACGATTTGATAATAAAATCTATATATTATAATTTTTGTTTAATTAAGAATAAAATAAAGTAATATTTTATTGTTTAATAATTTCATATAAAAAATTTAAACAATTTTTTCGCTTAATTTACATAATTGTAGAGGTTGTTAAGTTGTGGTGTGAGCTAGGTATAAGTAGTATATGACGTGAGTGTCAACGTAATGTCTGGTGGCAGCAGAAGATGGGGGAAGATCAAGAGAAAGGAAGAAGAGTGGGAACACAATGGAATTTGTGTATGAAACGCATGAATAGTGACAATGGATTGTTGATGTTTTGCAACAGAGGAACAGTCCAGTTCGATATGATGAACTGATATTTTGCAAATGAACGATTTACGATATGGTTTTCTGATTTTATTGAGTAACTCTGTAATTTTCGTTAAATACAATTCGGTTGCCCTGACCTGTGTTCTCGTTCACTACAGTAGTAGTAGTAGTAGTATCATGAGATCTATCGATCCTTAGTTTGATTCCGAATATGAAAGTAAATGTGAACTATTGAAATATTTCAAAGTATGATAAAATAATCAGCCAATAGTTATGCTATTCAGTGCTTCATTTTGAAAAAAACTGTACCTAATAAATATCTTCATATTGCTGGAACCATGAATCAATCACTGCTAGTCTACCACTAGAAACCCCCAAGTACTGGGGTTCTAGTGAGAGGCCGAGGCCAGCGGAGTTCAACTTTACCGGTTTTAGGCAGTTACCCACCGAAGACAATCGGTGAGGTTGAGCGAAATCCTTAGATTAGTCAAAGTTAGAAATTAACACCGTTGAATGCCAACTCAGTAGTCTGTGACATTGACAGTTTAGACGTCAAATATTAAACAACATTTGAAGTGATATTTATAGTCAGGACGACCAATCAGAAACAACATTGGAGTACGCGACATTGATATCTAGGACGACCATAAAATTGACCAATAGGAATGGGCCAACAATTCTCCTAGAATATTGGATCAATATCCTAACAAGACCATTGCATTTTACAGTTAGAGAGGTTACCGCTATCTTATCCAGACTGTAACTAACCTTCTGCCGGGGGGAGATATATTTACAGCTAATCAATTACTGAGTAGTAACTCCTGAGTAGCTTGTGTACATTTACGATCTCATACAGATCAGTACCCAAAACCTTTACATTTAATGGAAAATATGACAGGATGGAGTTCGTGACTGTATATTCGATCACATTATATCATTCAATGTGTTAGGATATTCATCCGATATCCTACGAGAATTATTGGTCAAATCCTATTGGTCAATTTCGATTGGTCAAAATTATGGTCGTTTTAACTGTCAAAGTCAAATACTTCAATGTTGTCTCTTATTGGTCATCCGGACTGTCAATGTCATTTCAAATGTTCTTTCTTATTGGTTGTCCTGATTATCAATGTCACTTCAAATGTTACTTCCTATTGGTCGTCTTAACTGTCAATGCCACAGAATTCGATGATGTTTCCTATTCGACCGAAATGTACAAATACGCATTATCTGTAACATTTTATGACTACGACCAGGACCAGGACCCGGTCCCGGATCCTTAGTCTGGGATTCTGATTCTCTTCTCGACTCGGACCTCGTACTTTCTGGATGTTTGTAGAATACAAGTTCTACTTCATATCAAGTCTTCTTATTTTTTACTCAATATGGGAGTTGGGATAATCGGATTAGAGTAGTATGTCGTGACGCCGGATCTTCGATCCTCACTTTCGTTTTCCGACTAGGTAAACTCGTAATAATAATTCAAGCATATCAAATTGACATGTGTTTACGTGCAGGCGTAACACAATGGTTAAAACTAGTATCATGCTCATTCCAAATGTTTAAAGTAAGCTACTATTTTTTTTTAAAAAGAAAACACTGAAACATTGACTTACTAAACAATTTAAAAAATTCTTTTGTTTTATTCTTCTAGATAAATGTTCTTTGAATTCATAATCGTCTGTCAAATCGTTTGATGCTGCTGTTGGTGTCGGTGTTGGTGTTGTCGTCATCATCTGTGGAGTTATCAATTGATTACGTGGTTCAATATCTGTATCCATTGTGTCGTCAATGATATTCAATGTGAAACCACGTTCATTACAAATTCTTTGTAAATATGGCCAAACATACATTCGTAAATTGGTTAATTCAATTCGCATATCTTCAAGGTTAATAACACAATAAATATGATGTAATTAGTTGTTTTGTAAGACAAACAAAAAAAAAACTGATCAAGTTTATTTTTGAGTATTATGAAAGTTATCAGTATTTCATTAAAATGATGAATTTATCGTTGTTAAACTAGCATTAGTGTTTTGGAAGCACTGGAAGGCTGTTTTGTCCCACTATGGGACTCTTCAACAGTACGCATCCACGAACCAAGCTCAAGGGACTCGAATCCAGGACCTTCGGTCTCGCGTGCGAACACTTAACCTCTAGACCCCTAAGCCAGAACCCAGCAGTGTAAGTATCTAATTTAGATCTATCCATGGTCTTGAGCAACCTCACCCATTGTCTTCAGTGGATAACTGCTCCACACTCAACAGGGTTGAACTCTACTGTTCACGAATTTTCTTGGGTTCTATTCCTGTCAGAGGTAGTTATGGATACGCACTTCTGATGAGTCCCGTACTAGGACGAAACGGCTATCCAGTACTTCCAGGTTTCTAATGGTGGTCTAACAATGATAGATTCATGATTTCAATTAATTAAGCACTGCTTTGACAGCCTCGCTAAATACATAGAGCCATTCAATCGTATAAGATATTGATCGGTTATGTCTTTTTATTTTCAAAAAGAATATATATTTCTTCAACAATATAAACTTTATTTTTTGATTTGTAATTAATGATTAGACCTTTTTCTTGGTAAGAAAATGACTTATATTTATAGACATAATTCTACCTAGTGACTTTCGAAGGTAACTGCCCGTCCCAAGAGGTGCAGACCTAAGAACACATTACAATGGTGGTAGACATCGAAAGAGTGAATAGAAATCAGGAAAAATTAGAGAGGAGACCCCGGGAAATAGTTGGTTGGAGAATCCTGACTGATGGCCTAAACTCCACAAGAGGTTACACTTACTTATTGATGCATGTTACCTCTAATGGAACATAAGCCACTGACCAACATTCTCTAAACTACTCTTTTCTGGGCCGCTCTTTCCAGTTCTATCCAATATTTTGTTCATTCTTCTTATGTCTGTCTCCGTTTCTTGGCGTAATATGTTCCTTGGCCTTCCTCCTCTTCCTTTGACATTGAGGGTTCTAAGTGAGGGCTTGTCTTGCGAAACAGTTGGATTCTTTCCTCAACGTGTGTCCAATCTACTCCTATCGCTTCTTCCTGAATTCTTCCTCCACTGGAATCTGGTTTATACTCTCCCACAGTAAGTCGTTGCTAATACTGTTTGACCAGTGAATCCGAAGTATTTTACCACAAGGGTGTTACGCATGCACGTTAACACGTCAATTTGATATGCTTGAACTATTACAAGTTCATCCTAGTCAGTAAACGAGAGCAAGGATAGATGATCCGGAGACATGACAGACTACTCTAATCTAAGTATCCCAAACCCCTATTGATTAAAAGAAGAAGACTTGATATGAAGTAGAACCTGTAATCTACAAACATCCAGAAAGTATGAGGTCCAAGTTCACAAGAGGACGAGGATCCCGGACTAAGGATCCGGGTCCGAGTCCGGGTCATAAAACGTTACAGATAATCCGTATTCATACAGTTAGATCAAATAGGAAGCAACATTGAAGTCTGTGACACTGATAGTTAGGACGGCCAATAGGAACAACCTTTAAAGTAACATTGACAGCAAGGACTACCATAATTTTGACCATTAGGAATTAACCAATAGGAATCGACCAACAGAATGAGACTTATCAGTACTTCTCTTAGGATATTGGATGAATATCCTAACAAATGGGTCATAGGTGTATGCGAATAATGTTGTCTTAAACCTAGCGACATCCTCCACTGAGGTAGGGAACAGGTCAGTTGTTTGTGAAAACAAATTCTCAGACTACACATCAGTATCTAGGTGATTGATTTTCTGACCATTATCACAAGATTTGGGCTTCAGGAACAAAGCTTCTAACTGTATTATTACATCAAGTTCAATGTTTGAAAAATTGTGTACCTACCGAGTCGGATGAAGAGGAAATTCCTTTTTCGGGTTTTAGTTTTTCCAGAGTTTTCACCAGCTTATTCATTGTCTTCTCAGACGATCTAATCGAAAACAATATTGTTCGCTTATATGTGTTGTTCTAATTTTCACAATGGGAATCTTTAATATTATTAAATTATGTGGGGATCCTGCTGCATTTAATGCACTCAATGGGTTCCTGAAGTTTAATGCACGTCTCACAGAATCGAAAACGAGCTTAGGATTTACTATTAATTGTATTGAGTCAAACAGATATCCTAAAGTATATTGGAAGTCATTACGTCGGAACAGAGTCTATCCCAATGCTAAAATACTTGAAAGACATGTGTCCAATGAAATAGATACTTTAAAAATGAATATCCGTGACTTGGATAGGAATCTTCTTCTCAGACAACATTCCGTTGATAACCTGCCATCGGAAATTCATTCATTATTTATGGATTATGTCGGAAAAGTTTCTAAAAACAGATCTGAAAAGACAATGAATAAGCTAGTGAAAACTCTGGAAAACCGAAAACCCGAAAAAGGAATTTCCTCTTCATCCGACTCGGTATGTACACAATTTTTTAGACATTGAACTTGATATAATAATACAGTTAGAAGCTTTGTCCCTGAAGCCCAAATTTTGTGATAATGGTCAGAAAATCAATCACCTAGTTATCGATGTGCAGTTTGAGAATTTGAGAATTCACAAACAACTGACCTGTTCCCTACCTTAGTGGAGGATGTCGCTAGGTTTAAGATAACTTTAGTATGAGAATAATGTTTATGTGTACAGAAACTGGCAAGAAATTCTTCAGTGGCTCTTTATTTTGATATTCTCTTCCTTTCATCATGCTAAAATATCACTTGTGTGTGTGATATCATTCTCTCGCTTTTCATTTTGCCTTAGTTCTGATGAATAGACTGGAATGAGGAACTATTTATGAAGTAGATTTGTGGTGCGCTTCACTACTTATAAGTAGTATATGACGCGAGTGTAAACGTAATGTCTGGCAGCAGAAGATGAGGGAAGATCAAGTAAGGAAGAGTGGGAACACAATGGACTTTGTATGAAACGCATGAATAGTGAAATGTCAGACAATGGATTGATGATGGATTGAAGATTTGCAAATTTCACCGTTTACGATATGATTTTCCTATTTTACTGAGTAACTCTGTAATTTTCGTTAAATACAATTCGGTTGCCCTCACCTGTGTTCTCCTTCATTACAGATTGAAAAAATACCTTAACTAATCGTTATAACATGTTTATGATCCTCGTATAAAAAAACATACTCACCTGTTGGATCAGCTATCACATAAATATAAAGTTGTCTATCTGGAAATGTTTGAGATTTAGGATGATCTTTAATATTTAACAATTGTTTTCTGATTGAATGATTTGTATGTAAAATGAGCTTAGTTTGATCTAATTTTCGGCTGAATTGTATCTTGAACAGAAAATTGGCATGAAAGTTTAAAATAAAGAGTATTACTAACAGAATTGCTGAAGTTTAATGTGATTATTACTGTTGTAGGTAGTAGTTGGATTATAGACTTACTTACTTACTTACTTACTTACTTATGCACTTACTTGCTTACTTACTTACTTACTTACTTACTTTCTTACTTACTTACTTACTTACTTACTTACTTTCACCTGTTACCCGTGCATTAAAGAGAGTATACTTATGAATAAGATGTACGCAAAGTTTTTGAAAGAGTTAATTCTACTTTTTGTTGTGATTATATAATCTATCCTACTCAACTCCATGGTCCACTATGTTGTCATTGAGTAATGCATGGAACTGTTAACTTCGTACAGGTTTGACGCATTGAGAGTTATCAGGAAAATAGAGATATTAGGTGTTAGGCGTTTGCGCACAAGACCGAAGGTCCCGGCTTCGAATCCTGTGAGGTGTAGGAGTTGTGGTATCGCACTGCTGATGAGTCTCATACCAGGACGAAACGGTCGTCTGGTGCTTAAGGGTTTCTAATGTAGGTCTAACAATGACTGATTGATGATTTCAAATGTATAAAAACACAAATCTTCAAAGCTCTAACTGAAGATATTAGGTCTGCCAATATTTCAGATGTACTTTGTTGACGAAGAATGTCAACTTACTAAGTTCGAAGGAACCTACAAACTAACTTTAACCGCCTCATACCTTTTTGTTGCGGAGATTAGATCCCTAGAACTCACTTGATAAAGATCCTTATTTTGGAGTTTATTCATGGGCTGATCAGTTGGCCTTGAGATTACATTTCCCACTCAGGAAAATCCTTGACTGTCATTGGATGATGTGTTATTTTAGTACGCTCGTCAAGTGGCTCTCCCAAGGACGTTTCTATCATGTATAAATAAACTCGATTTGTGTGCTTGTCAACTCCATATTTTCTGAATGCTTGTAGATTTAACTTTTCTACGCCTTATCAATACTTCATGATATAGTTAGCAGGGTCTGGGAAAACGGATTAGAATAGCCTATTGTGTCACTGGATCATTTGTCTTCGCTCTTGTTTACCGACTAAGGTGAACTCGTCATCGTTTCAAGCTTATCAATTGACGAACTTAACACCTTTCATAAACAGTGGACTCAATATCCAGTAAACTTAGATTATTACTCACAGTGTAACTTGATCAAAAGAATTTGATAAGTAATAAATCGATCCGTATTGACGGATAATATTTGAATATAAAATCTGTTTTTCTGAATTTTATTTCATAAATATTTCTAATAGTGACTTGTTTACATTTTGGCGAAATATCAAACAAAGTTGAAACGAAGTGTAACGGGAGTTGTGGATGAGCACAGATGATGAGTCCCATACTAAGATGAAATGGCTGTCTAGTACTTTCAGATTTCTAACGATGGTCTAACAATGATTGATTCATGATTTTGAAATGAAACTCTGTTGCATAACAATAGAAAATTAGAAAGCAGTAAATATTCTTATTTTTCCTTCTATAAAACTACTTAAAAGTGAACTTCTACGACATAGCCGCCAGTCTTCAGAATTAAAGTTTATCCTCAAGATCATTTATTGACTTAATATCCAGTAGATCACACTTGTAACTTTAGTTAATTATTACAAGTGTAATTCAATTCAATATTTTACTCAGACTCTATTAAATTGAACTCAATTGATCATGATTTTTCTATCAAGAACTGTAGGAATGATTAGTCGAAATGAATAACTATTAGGCGCATAGTTACTTTCTTACTTACCTGCGTCTATTACCCCCTATGGAGCATAGGCCGCCAATCAGTATTCTCCTACCTACTATGTCCTGATCGTTCCTTTCTGTTATTGACTGTTATTGACTCTTCTCATGATTGTTTCCTATACTCAGCGTAATGTGTTCCTTGGCCTTCCTCTTTTCCTTTGATTTTGAGCTATCCAAGTGATAGCTTGTCTTGTGACGCAATTGGGTGATTTCCTCAATAAGTGTTCTATCCACTTCCACGACTTCTTCCTAATTTCCTCCTCAGTTGCAATCTAATTTGTTCTCTCCTTTAGTCAGTTGTTGCTGATAGTGTCTGAGCAGCGGATCCGAAATATTTTGTTGGTTAACACTTGCATCTTCTGGATGATTGCTTTTAAGGTCTTCCAAGTTTCCACCCCGTATAGTAGGACTGTCTTGACATTTGTATTGAAAATTATGACTTTGTTTTTAGTTGCTAGTTGTTTTAAGTTCCATATGTTGTTCAGTTTTAGAAATGCAGCCCTCACTTTGCCGAACCGCGCCTTTATATCTGCGTCAGATCTACCTCGGTCAGTACAAAATCGATCCTCACAGAATCCGACCTGTTGATCTCAATTTTGAGCATCTATGGAGTCCTTCATTTTATTTAATAACACCCTGTTGAGGACTTTACCTGATATTGAGAGAAGACTGATACCTCTGTAGTTCTCACACTTGTTGCGATCGCCTTACTTTGTGTTATGATATTCATCCAATATGCTAAGAGAATTATTGGTCAATTCCTATTGGTTAATTCCTACTGGTCAATTTTATGGTCGTCTTAACTGTCAATGTCACAGACTCCGATGCTGTTTCTTATTGGTTGTCCTGACTATCAATGTCACTTCAAATGTTGCTTCCTATTGGTCGTCTAAATTATCAATGTCACAGACACTCCGATGCTGTTTCCTATTCGACCAAAATATATAAATACAGATATAAATATATTATCTGTAACGTTTTATGACCACGACCAGGACCCGGTGTCGGATCGCTAGTCTGGGATCCTGATTCTCTTCTGGACTCGGACCTCGTACTTTATGGATGTTTGTAGAGTAACATGTTCTACTTCATATCAAGTCTTTTTATTTTTACTCAATATGGGGGTTGGGATAATCGGATTTGAATAGCATGTCTTGTCGCCGGATCCTCAATCCTCGCTCTCGTTTTCCGACTAGGTAAACTCGTAATAGTTCAAGTATATCAAGCTGACGTGTTTAGGTACAGGCGTAACACTTTGGAACAGTAACTGTGTGTAATGTGGGATTATGGAGGTGGTCATATAAATGTATCAGCATACATTCTAATAGTCAATTTAAATTTGCCAATTAAACTTACATCTCTTTCACTTTCATTTTCTTTAGGTTTTTCTCTTTCTTGAGATTTAATTCCACCAAATTCAGTGTATCTATCAAAAATATTGTATTTTGCCTCTTGTTCTTCTGTTTCTTCAATGAGTTTATTCGATTCTTTCATAGTTTTCTGATTACAAGTAACAGAAAAGCAGAATTACATATTTGGGGGCTTATTTTGTATGATAAAAGCTTTGATTAACACTGTGAACTATTTTATATATGATAAAAATAGTAGATTTATAAGCAGGGACGGATGGTAGAGAGTAGTGGAATTCAGAATGAATGTCTCATCTTAATTATGACTCGTTATTTTAGTTGGATGTACTTGTCACATGATTAAACTGGAAATTCGTGCGTGGAGGACAGCACACAGACTAGTTCGAAGTAAAGATCGGTGTCAGACAAGGTTGTCTACTGTCATCCCTTCTTTTTCTCCCAGTGTCTGACTGGATTTTGAAGATGGCAACATCTGGAGGGGAACATGGTATACAATGGAGAGCTATCATGTAACTGGACGATCTACAGTTCATAGATGAACTGGCTCTTCTATTGCACACGCAACAACATATGCAAGGGAAGAAGACCAGTGTAGCAGCACCTTCAGCAGCAGTAGGTCTCAACATACATAAAAGGAAAGGCAACATTCTCCGATACAGCACAACATGTACCAACCAAATCATACTTGAAGGAGAAGTTTTCGAAGATGTTGATAAACGTTTACATATCTGGGCAGATGATGATGAGCAAGGTTGATCCGATACAGAGGTGAATGCGTGGATCAGTAAAGCGAGGCCAGCATTTATACAACTGAAGAACATGCAGATCTCAAAACAACTATCAACCAATACATAAGTCAGGATTTTCCATACAATTGTCAAGACAGTTTTAGTGTATGGGCCAGAAAATTGGAGAACTACTAGAGCTATCATCCAGAAGATACAAGAATTTACTTATAGTTGTCTTCATAAAATACTTCGGATTCATTGGCCAGGCACCATCAACAGCAACCTTCTGTAAGATAGAACAAAACAGAATCCAGCGGAGGAAGAAAGCAGGAAGAAGCGGTGGAAGTGGATAGGACACATATTGAGGAAATTACCCGAATGTATCACAATATAAGCCCTCACCTGGAATCCTCAATGCCAAAGGAAAAAGAGGAAAGCCAAAATAACATTACGCCGAGAAATGAAGACAGACACGAGAAGAATGAACAACACTTGGATGCAACTAGAAATGAAGGCTCAGAACAGAGTAGGTTGGAGAAGGTTTGTTGGCGGTCTATGCTCTATTAGGGGGTAACAGGCGTAAGTAATACATTAAGTTATTTGCCACATTCCAGAGTTGATATCCACTCTGGGCTAGTCATATTCATCTTTGATGCATTTATGTCGAATGAGACTGATCAACTGCAGTAAACCTATCAGTGGGTAGATTCGAACAACCATTATAAATGAAGAGTAGATTGGTTTATTCTGTTTACTATTCAATGAAAAAAATTCTTATCATTATAACTGCGTTAACAGTACGGATTACAATATAATGATGTTCATACAGACCAATGCAAATGTAATAAAATTTCCAAGATAGCACAAACCAGTAGTTATTCGGACTCAGTAAGTGAACGAACAACGTGACATTATGATAAGCCGATGGTACTAGGGTTGAGTCTCAGTAAGTTGTAGTTACATGCAGCTGATGAGTCTCAAACAGAACGAAACGAGATTTATGGATTCCACTGTCAGCTACCATCCATCTATCGTGGTAATGAATTTCATATTGTTCTGCATACTGTATATAACTGTTTGACAATAAAATGACAAACTTTTATCGAGTGATACAAAGATGAAAGTCACTTTACCATGATGTATAGACTTTACTGTTCTCAGGCGCTAGACAGAGATTTATTTTGATCAATGAATCTTGTGAAGATTGTTAAGTTACACATTTTCGAAACCATGAATCGATCAATGTTAGACCACCATTAGAAACCTGGAAGAACTGGACGGCCGTTTTGTCCTGGCATGGGACTCCCCATCAGTGCGCATCCACGACTCCTGAAGCCCGCAGGATTCCAAGCCAGGATCTTCGGTATTGTGCGCGAACGCCTAACCTCTGGACCACTGAGACAGTATCTAATAGTGTTAATGTCTAACTCGATCAATTCAGGGAGTTTTGCAACCAAATACACTGACTTCGGTAGTTACTGTCCACATGCGAATAGGCTTAGCTTCACTGGTCACGACTTCCTACTAGAACTCGGAGAAGATTCCTCACGAAGCTAGTCACTAGTGAGCACAGGTAATTTGTATTACGGGGTTGTGAAGATTGTTAAGTTACACCTCCTCAGCAGTCCTATACCAGAACGAAACGGCCGTCCAGTGTTTCCAGGTTTCTATAGGTGGTCTAGCATTGATCGAGTCACGGTTTCAAAAATAAATCTTTTTTTCTGGTGCCGTTTGAAAAGTTTTGTTTGTAAAGTTATACTACTTGTTAGTAGTTAAACTGTGCTTCAGAATTTTTATCTTTTGTGAAAGATGTGATTGCAAATATCCAAGATTCTTATAAAGTTTATTGATAAAACGTACTTTATATTGTAACTTACAAATGATGCAGTTAGGATATGCATATAGTATAAAAATATTGACGAATTACGATTAATAATTCTACCAGCAACAGAAATATACAAACATTTACAAATGGAAATATACTTTATACTATATAAACGTTACACTGACATGACAATGAATAATTGCAAACTGATTGCAGTAGGATGGATGACGTTGCCTTATAAAGTAATTCATACAAAACATAAATGTTAAATTCATGTTGTTTTCCGAAAGCCATTGACTATTGCTGACCTGGGTTATGTATACAGTATGATGGTAAAATATACCTCTTGTAGTGTGTGTGTGTGTGTGCGTACAAATATGTCGAACACAAAGGGCTTGTCCCACTCTTGGAACAAAATAATCAGTCCGTTCTTCTCAAGTTATTATTCATACATCCTCCTACTTTTTTAATCACTCTCTTATAACTTGGTGCACTGCTTATTTCGCTTAGCATATTTCTGGTGTATTTTTGTCTGACTATAAATACATAGTCATACACCTTATCACATTGAGTTTGTGGTGCGTGCTACTTATAAGTAGTATATGACGTGAGTGAAAACGTAATGTCTGGCAGCAGAAGATGAGGGAAGATCAAGAAAGGAAGAGTGGGAACACAAAAATGGGATTTGTATGAAATAGCATGAATAGTGAAATGTCAGACAATGGATTGATGATGGATTGAAGATTTGCAAATTAACCGTTTACGATATGGTTTTCCTATTTTACTGAGTAACTGTGTAATTTTCGTTAAATACAATTTGGTTGCCCTCACATGTGTTCTCCTTCACTACAAGTTGACTCACTCGTCTTTTGCCTTTCACTTCACTTTGCTTTACTTATGCACTTTTCTCTCTCAAGTCTGTTTGCTCAAATGAAAGTGTGAAATAAATTCATCTACTGAACCGTAATGGGATTTGAATTAACACTGTCTTACAAACAAGCTTCACCCTAACTATGATATACGGAAATTGAAAGAAAGATTTACTTCGTAGCAAACACAATCGTTCGTTGAAATTGGAGTGAGATCACTGACCATTAAGGCGATAAGCTCTACTTCGAATGTAACTCAGCCACCATCAGTGGTAACGGATTCATGGTCTTACATTATCATGAAATGACTGAAAAAACGAGAATATGAACTATGAGACACTAACTAACTCAATAATCTAAAAAAATGCATCACCAATTAAGAAACTTCAAAGTTCCATATTCTCTTCCTGGTTGTATTGTAAATGCTACTTATAGATTAAATATTCCTAACTTGAATAATACTGTTGTTCAATGTGCCCTAGTCTTGAGTAGTTTTCTTAATAACATCTGTATATTTAAATTGGCTTATTATTTTAATATTTAGCGGTCATATAGGTTATTTTTAAATATAGGGTTGTAGAGATTGTAGAGTTTCTTCAAAATCATGAATCTATCAATGTTAGATTACCATCAGAAACCTGGAGTCACTCAATAGATGTTTCGTCCTGGTACAGGGCTCATCAGCAGCGCAAATATACAACTCTTGCTCATGGGAATCGAACCGTGGATCATTATGCTCACTAGTGACTAGCTTTGTGAGGAAATACTCGAAGTTCTAGTGAGAAGCCGTGACCAACGGATTATAACCCTGTTGAGTGTAAGCAGTTACCTACTAAAGAAAATGGGTAAGGCCGTGCAATACTCTGGATTGACTAAAGTTAGACACTGACATCGATGAATGCCGACTTAGTGGTCTAGAAATTTGGTGTTGTCGCGCGCGAGAGTCATGGATGTGCACTCCTGATGAATCCCATACTGGGACGAAACCACCTCCCAGTACTTCTGCGTCTCTAATGTCGATCTAACATTGATCCATTCATGATTTCATATATGTTAATGTAAGCCGTTTATATATATATATATATATATATATATATATATATATATATATTTGAAAAAAATTAAAAAAAACTTTTTAAAATTTTGTTTTAATCAAAAGAAAAAATAATTGAAACATTCAATTCGAAAATGATTTTTTTTTCAATACTTACTCCACTTGAATAACTTGCTCTAGTCTTAGAGGATTGTTGAGAATCATATTTTCCACTAGTTCCAGATAACTAAAAAAAATAAAAGCCAAAGAAAAATATTACATGTGATCAATTAACAATGACAATTAAAACAAACCAACAATGAAATCATTGAAACTTGATCAATACTAAACAAATAACCGGAAAATAAAACAGTGGCAGCATTTTGATTATGATATTGACATAGCAATGTTAGGAGGATGTAGGTTCAGTATTCTAGAGAGTTTATATTCTCGCGTGTGACCGAAGGTCTTCGGCTCGAATGCTGTGAGTTGCAGGAGCCGTCAATGCTCATCACTGATGAGTCGCATACAAGGACGAAATTTTCTTACATTGATCGACTCATGGTCTTGATTAAGTAACCATTTTAATTACTGAAATCACAAGATAATAAATCAGAATGTCTATAAAACTCTAATTATCATGAGTTCTACTGATCCTTAGTTTGATAAAATAGTTATCTGTCATAGATAATTTTCAGTGTTTTATTTTAAAAAATCTGTATCGAATAAATGTCTTCATATTATTGGACAGACAAAGGGACCTGACAAGGAAGGTAGATTAGTGTTGGTCTTAGAGACCTGGGTGCGTGACCGCTAAGCCCAAGGGACAACTGCTTGAGGCCGGTCACGCACGGCCTTTTTATGAAAGGTATTTAGAGGATTAGCTCCGTTCTTAAAGGCCCTTAGTGGGCACCCATACCCAAGGAGACGGAAATCCGTGAGGTAGGGGAGGTGTGACATTTTTAGGGTCGACCTTTTCTAACCGCTTCCTCCCTTTCAGAAGGCAGCATCGCTGCAGATGCTGGTTGTCCGAGGGAAACACCTTATTGCTCTCATACCACTCTGTAGTCAGCAGTACGACTTCGCCCTCAGCCCTTGAGTAGCTGCTTCTAGTCTCATCGTTCTACAATCGACCTGCCTGGCATGGTAGAACCTTCGGGATTATATGTTCCAGCCAATATAGCTCAGTTGGTTCATCACGATAGGCAAGCCCGACCACCACGTCAAGGTAGCAGCTACGGTCGGGTCATATTATTGGAATCGTGAAGCAATCATTACTAGACCACCATTAAGAACCTAGAATCACTGAATGGTTGCTTCGTCCTTTTACAGGACTCATCGTTAGTGAGTATCGACTACTCTCCAAGTAGGGATCGAACCCGCTCAAACTCTCAACCTCTGGACCAGGGAGTTGGCATCTAATGGTGTTGGTTTTTAACTATGATCAGTTTCGCCCATCGTCTACAGTGAGTAACTGCCTACACTCAGCAAGGTTGAACTCCACTGGTCACGGCTTCTCACTAAAACTCCAAGAACTTTCTCAGGAAGCTAGTCACTAGTGAGCGGATTGTACGATTTTTGATTACAAAATTATAGAGACTGCTGTTTTACATTAGAATTGTCAGTGAGGTGGAGGAAAATCCTTAGATTGACCAAAGTCAGAAATGAACACTGTTGGATGCCGGCTAAGAGATTTAGAAGTTAAGTGTTCGCGCACAAGATCGAAGGTCCTAGGTTCGATTCCTGGCAGCAGCAGGAGTTGTGGATGCGCCCTTCTGATGAGTCCCATACCAGGACAAAACAGCCGTCCAGTGTTTGAAGGTTTCTATTGGTTGTCTAAAAATGATTTATTCATGATTTCAGTGCAAGTGCAAGTTATCAAAATCAATATTATGTTTGTCTAGCAATGTGTAGTACGTGGAATCTGTCCTTAAAATTATAATTCGACAACAAGTCTCGGAGAATTAACGTCACGTGATTGGAGTCAGTGGATCAGAATTGTTCGATTTAAGTTTTCATGCTAGTTGAGATTCATTAGTATTGATCGTGAAAAAAATTAAACTTCAGCAGGAGATATAGTCCACTCTTTAAAAAAGACTCATATATAGCTTCCGTGATCATAGTGCTAGGTGACGCAGGTTGGAATCCATAAGAGGACGTTTAATCTGTAAACTTTTGAAGACTGCGGTTTCTAGAACTTTCTGTAATTGTTTTCAACCATGCGATCAATCTTCTGTTCTTACTTTGATTTCAAAAATAGTATGTATGCATGTTTTAATAATGATTTTTATTATTCTGAGTGGAAATATTTATCAATCGGTTACTTACATGAAAATGATTTACACAGACATTAAATCAAATTTAACAAATGAAATCTTATCAGTAAAGGAAATGGTAATTCCGCCTGGAGAGAAAAAACTAGATTCCAGTGGAGGAAGAAATCAGGAAGAAATGTTAGAAATGGATAGGATACTGATTGAGGGAAGGATCCAAATGCGTTACAAGACAATTCCTCACTTGGAACGCTCAAGGAAAAGAGGAAGGCCAATGAACATATTACGCCTAGAAATGGCGATACAAATGAGAAGAATGAGCAGAAATGGGATAGAATTTGAAAGGAAGGCAAAAGAGAGAGTAGTTTGGAGAAAGCTGGTGGGTGGCCTCTGATCTATTGAGGGTAACAGGTGAAAGAAAGCAAGTAAATAAGTAAATAGGTAAGTAAGCAAGTAATTAAGCAAGTGAGTAAGTAAGTAAGTAAGCAAGTAAGTAAGCAAGTGAATAAGTAAGTAAGTAAGCAAGTAAGTAAGCGCATAAGTAAGTGCATAAGTGCATAAGTAAGTAAGTAAGTAAGTAAGTAAGTAAGTAAGTAAGTAAGTATGTAAGTGCATAAGTGCATAAGTGCATAAGTAAGTAAGTAAGTAAGTAAGTAAGTAAGTAAGTAAGTAAGTAAGTAAGTAAGTGCATAAGTAAGTAAGTGCATAAGTAAGTAAGTAAGTAAGTAAGTAAGTAAGTAAGTAAGTAAGTAAGTAAGTAAGTAAGTAAGTAAGTAAGTAAGTAAGTAAGTAAGTAAGTAAGTAAGTAAGTAAGTAAGTAAGTAAGTAAGTAAGTAAGTAAGTAAGTAAGTAAGTAAGTAAGTAAGTAAGTAAGTAAGTAAGTAAGTAAGTAAGTAAGTAAGTAAGTAAGTAAGTAAGTAAGTAAGTAAGTAAGTAAGTAAGTAAGTAAGTAAGTAAGTGCATAAGTAAGTAAGTGCATAAGTAAGTAAGTAAGTAAGTAAAGGAGTTGGTTAAGATAGCTATCTTAACAATGTTTCGATCACGAACAAATCTAATTTACACAACCTATGAAAAAACGTAGATACACTAGCTAGCTACTTCATCCTTGTATAAAACTCCTCAACGATTCACATCCACAGCTGCACTTGGTTACAAGTTCTCACAATAGCTTAGCTTCTAGACTAATCAGTTGAGATTCATTGATTTTAACTCTTAACTTCAATGGTTTTCATTGGTTATCGAGCCTAAGTAGATTCATCATCTCAACAGTAAGTTGATAATTACTCTCTATCCAAAACTATACAATTAATTACAACATTGAAACTTCATGCCAACGAATTAAAATATCCACATTCTATTCTTGCTTAAGTTCCCATTTATTCATCAATAAGCCATTCAAGTTATGAAGATCAGAGTTTTTTGCACACTGAAATCACGAATCAATCATTGTCAGACAACTATTAGAAACCCACAAGCACTGGAAGGCCTGTTTGTCCTTGTACGGGACTCATCAGTAGTGCGCATCCACGACTCCTGCCAATCGCAGGATTCGAACCTAGGACCTTCGGTTCTGTGCGCGGACATCTAACCTCTGGCCTACTCAGCCAACCGGCATCCATCTGTGTTAATCTAGGGATTTTGCACGACCTCGCCTATTTGTGTTCGATATTGATTGCCTACACCCGAAAGAATTATACCCTACAGGTCACGTCTTCGAATCCTTCTTGCGGCAGGAGTCATGGTTGCACACCGTTGATAAGTCCCATATCACAAAGAAACGGTCATCCAGTGCTTCCAGGTTTCTAATGATGATTTAACAATGATTGATTGATGGTTTCAATAATCAATATTCAGTTAAATGAATGTTCATATGATATTCACCATAAACTTGAATTTTGAATCTTTAATTTCAAAGATTAACGAGTTATTGAGTTATTAGGTTGTTCAACAGGTTAGGTGTTTATTATCAGTAGAATGAATGGATCAAACGTCCTTTGAATTATATACAGGAATGAATTTTAATGACCATCTTTATTTGGATAAAGATCAGAGAATGGGATGTTATGTTTATTCGAAATTCAACTGATAGTCACAACTCAAATGAGTTCATAATAAAATTATTTTCACAAACTAGAGGTTAAGCATTCAAGCACAAAACCGAAATTCTTGGGTTTGATTCTGTTATACTCGTCTCTAGATATGCTTAAAACTATTACGGGTTCACTTTAGTCGAATAACGAGAACAAAACAATGAACCAGTGTCCAGGTCAGTCAGTCAGTCAGTCAGTTGCAACGTAGAACTTCGTACGTATGTACATAAGTTCATGTTGCCATGTCACATTAGCACAGAGACGCAAATGTCAAATCAAATCCCATAGTGATAAAGATAGTAGAGGTATTAATGGTAATGAAGAAGACTAGGGTTTGAAGATAGTATTCAAGAAGTATAATTCAGTGAGATAAGGTTAGAAAGACAAAGGTAGAGGTGCTGACGAATCCAGAAGATTAGAATTTGAGAGAGCTCAACGAATGGACGCACTTGCGCTATTGCAAACGATTTTGAGCCATGTCGTTCAAGGTCTCTAACCACTAGTGACTTTCGTCCAGGTAGGCTACTGTGATCCCTTGACCAAATTTTACCAGCAAAAAGTCTTGATATAGCGTAGAAAGTGTATTCTGCAAACAGCCAGCCAGCACACAATCAATCCAATCACTCAATACTCCATATAGACGTCCTTGAAAGAGTCACAAAAATAGCACACTAAAATCACACAGTAACCAATCACGGCCAAGCAATTTCCTGGTAGGAAATGTGATCTCAAGGTCAACTGATCAGCCCATGAGTAAAATCCAAAATAAAGATATTTATCAAGTGAGAGTTCTGGGGATCTAACACCCACAACAGATTCTTGCGAGTTGCAGGACTCGTGGTTGCGCACTGCTGATAAGTCACATACCAGGACGAAAATAGCCGTCCAGAGCTTGTGGATTTCTAATCCTGTTCTCTGACATTGATCGACTCATAATTTCAAGGATACTAATATCAGACAAAGATTCGAAAGGCAAACTAAAAATCAATCAACAGGGTTTTTTCGATCTAGTTTCGAAGCTATCAATTGTATTCCGTCCTAAGACTGTATGAGATTGAAGCCCGACTCGTTTTATGCAACTGACATTAACTAACAACACTGTATGATAAAAATTATTGGATCAAACTTATTTTTTTTATCTAAAAACACAACAAAAGTATTCAAAAGTGTTAAATATTTTGTTTTGAAGAAAACTGCTCAACTACATTCGATACTAGATATCATTCAACTAAGCATAAAACGTAACCAGTTCTGTTAGAAATTAGTTAGGTATGCCACTAAAATCAATAAATTTCGGGTATCCTTAGGATCAAGGACAAGGCTTTTTGTTCAGTCAATACTAGGATATAGGTATATTTCTCCAAATAAGTTCAAAGTAGGATTGTGGTGATGTTTCATTCTCTGAGCTGGATGTTTTGGTTGTGGGGCTTTGATTGTTGTTCTTCTGAACAACATCATCAGCACAAACTTTAGATAGAAGTCTTCAAAGTGTATTCCTTTGCTTGTTATAATCAACTTAACATAAGCAGCTTCCAGGTGTAAAAATGGTTGTCTAACAATGATAGATTCATGGGTTCGATCAAAAACACCAATGTCTATAACTCTATAATGAAAAAACCGTACATTGAGCTATCTCATATGTGACTAGCTTAGTGAGGAAATTCTCAGAATTGTAGTGAGAAGACGTGACCACTGAAGCTCAACCCTGTTGGGTATCGGCAGTAACTACCAAAAATCTCTAGATTGATCAGAGTTAGACATTAATACCTTTGGATGCAGGCTGTATCACTGGTCCAGATGTTCAGAGTTCTTGCACAACATCGAAGGTCCTAGGTTCAAAATCCTACGAGTAGCAGCTTCTAGGTTTCGAATGATAGTCAAACAATGATAGATTTATGATTTCAACAACAATATCTATAACTCTATAATGAAAAATCTTACAATGTGCTCACTAGTGACTTGCTTCCTGAAGAAATCCTCAGAGTTCTAGTTAAAAGACGTGACTAGTGAAGTCTAACCGTGTTCGGTGTAGGCAGTTACCTACCGAGGACAATGAGTGAGGTCGTACAAAACCTGAGATTAATCAGAGTTAGACATTAACACCGTTAGATGCCGACTGTCTCACTGGTTCAGTTATCTAGAGTTCGTGCACAACATCGAAGGTTCTAGGTTCAAAATCCTGCGAGTAGCAGAAGTCATGGATGCACTCTGCTGATGAGTCCCATATTTACAACGAAACAGCCATCCAGAGCTTGTGGGTTTCTAATGGTTCAGTAATGGACAACATATGTATATAACCACATATAGTGTAAATAAATGATAAGGAATTGAATGTGGGTTGGCGGGAGAATTTTATTTCATTACCTCGGATGAACGTCGTTTTGTTGGTTTATACATTGTCATCGGTAGATTTGATTGTTCTGCTAAATTGGTTATTCGTTTCCAATGATCACCATGATCCTAAAGAATAGAATTATTACATGGAAAAAAATTTAGGTAAATGAAATATATTTATTATAGTAGTAATAGGAATTTGTAGAATTCATATCGTTTAAATTATAAACTTGTTAGGGATGTTAGATTTTCAGAACTCACTTGATTAAGGTCCTAATTTTGGATTTTTTGCGTTTTCGCGCATGAGCTGATCAGTTGACCTTGAGATTACATTTCTCACTCGGAAAATTCTTGACTGTTGTTATTGGTTGATGTGGCTCTCTGAAGGACGTTTCTATCATGTATAAATAAAATCGATTTATGTGCTTGAGGTCATTCTATTTTTTGGGTGCTTGTAGAATACACTTTCTACGCCTTATCAATAATTCTTGATATAGTTACCAGGGTCTGGGACAACGGGTTAGAATAGCCTATCTTGTCACTGGATGATTTATCTTCGCTCTCGTTTACCGAGTAAAGTGAACTCGTAATAGTTTCAAGTATATCAATTAAAGAGTATATCAGAACTGACTTTAGATGGACTGTTATTCATAATCTGAAGTTATTGATAGCAATGATGTTTATCTAGTCATCAAATCTACAAGTCATTCAGATGTAACGTAGAACTTCGTACGTAAGTACATCAGTTCATGTTGCCATACCACATCAGCACAGAGATGCAATTGTCAATTAAAATCCAATAGTAGTAGAGGTAGTAAAGGTATTAGAAGTAATCGAAGAGGTTAGGATTAGAAGATATTATTCAAGAAGTATGATTCAGTGAGATAAGTTTAGAAAGACAAAACTAGAGTTGTTGAGGAATCCAGAAGATTAGGATTTGAGAGAACACAAAGAATAAATGCACCGGCGCCATTGCAAACGGTTTTGAGCCATGTCAAAATTACAGGTACGCTTTGAAAACAAGTGTGGAATAGTGCACTATAACTTCAGGGCTTCCTGCTAATTGAACTGAGCCATTGAACATCTCAGTATATTGAATGCCATATTGGATGGCTACGATCGATCAATTTTTGAAAGTTTAATCAAATGTGTTATTTGTCGCGATTCAGTGATTTGGCTTTGAGAGAAATCCATGCAAGGTCCGAATAGCTTACTGACTTTAAAGCTAGATCATGTGGGTTCAGATCCCTCGATGAGCTGATGAGTAATAAATAGCATGTCACATATGTTCAGTGTTTCTTTCAAACAATCAACAGTATTGGACGGATTCAATACATTGACAATTCACAATCTATTCAAACATACTCTAATTTGTTAAGAATATAGACTAAAGCCTGAAATTTGGAAAAGCTTGTGAATACAAGTATATGAAATATGATAAATTATATGACCACCGGACAGTTGCTTTATTCCTACCATAGGACCAGTACCAAAAACTATAAATAAGTCACAAGTAGAGAGGAGGATTTGCAGATTGAATGAGAGGAATGAATGGTGTAATACTGTGACTTTCCTTTTGAGTTTACACTTGTTTACTGTTATTGGAAACCTGAACCTGAATTACACAACTCTCTGTTGTTCTCAGTTGACATTAGTCCATGATGTCGAACTGATTCTAATCTCAACCAACATTCATAATAACTTCCAACCCATATAAACAGGATTTTCATTGAGGGGTTGTGGAGATTGTTAAATTCCATCGAAATCATGAGCCACTATTGGAAAACCGGAAGTCCTAAAACAGGACTCAATAATTTCCACAACCTGATACTGACAATTATTATGTGCCCGCTAGTGACTAAACACCGCATGGGGCCCTTCTGGGGGTTACTGCCGGCCTTAAGCCCGGATAAAGAAGGAGGATTGAGTATGAGGTTAGCGACCTCATCCTGTAGAAAATCAACACGCTACAAAAATGCTAACCAGAAAAAAATAATACTGGTTGGCAGCCTATACTCCATTAGGGATGACAGGCGTAAGAAAATAAGTAAATCACTAGTGATTGACTTCGTAAAGAAATTCTCGCTATGATCAGTGGAATTCAACCGTGTATGGCTATTATCTTCCGAAGACAATGGACGATGGATGCACAACATCGTGGATCGATTCAAGTTAGACATTAACACAGTTGGATTCCGGCCCATTAGTCAAGAAGTTAAGCTGTTGCACACTAGACCGGAGGTCCTAGATCCTATTGCACCCCCTAATAGAAAGTCAAATACTGTGTCGTGGATGAATGTATTTCATGTGTGTTCATTTAAGTAGATGAGCATGAGAGTGAAAAGCGTACAAACAAGACTAGACGAATTGGAGAAAACGAGTGAGCCAACTCTCTAATGTGCTGAATCATGGCTCAGTATTTCTAATTAGGCAGTATGATATGCTTGAAACTGTTGCGAGTTCAGCTTACTCGTTAAACGGAGTGCAGATCAATGATGCAGTGACACGATAGGCTATTCTAATCCGATTGTCCCAGGCTCCGTTAACAAAACAAGAATTTTCGATAAAGCGTAGAGAATGTATTCCACAAGCACCCAGGAAATACAAGGTTCCTAAGCTTATTTATACAATGATGGAAACGCCCTCGGGAGAGCCACAAAATAGCGTACTAAAATAATCCATCAACCTATGACAGTCAGGTATTTCCGAAAGGGAAATATTGTTATCTGTAGGTTAACTTGGCGTCCCTAGCGAGAAAACATAGAAATTCAAAATTCCAGAATAAAATTACAAAATTCGAATCTTTTCCAAGTGAGTTCTGTGGATCTAACGTCCTCAAACACAGTAATAGGCTAGACATGTAATATGTAGGCTAGACATGTAATAAGGGAAGTAAGTATGCACACACACACAATCAAACAGACAATAGTTGATACTGATATCGAATTTTTACAAATATAAAAACTGATCGATGCTATGATCAAATAATTTAAACAACTAATTTTTAAATTTAGTTTAATGAATAAATGGTTTGAGGTGCTACACCACAAAACTAAGTGAAGACAGATATGAAAAGAATGAATAGAGCAACTGAGTAGAACTGGAAAGGAAGACCCATGTCGTGGTCACTTACAGAGTATTGGTCGGCAAGCCTATGCTCCTCTATAGGGGTAATATGCAGAATTCAATAAGTGAATTCTGAGATGATTTTAATTTTGCTATTGAAATCATTGTTCAGACAACCACTGGAGAACTTCAAACACTGAACGACCGTTTTTTCCAGGTATGGGACTCATAAACAGTGCGTATCGACAACTCATGCTACTCGCAAGAGTCGAACTCAGGACCTATGGTATTGCGAGCGAACGCCTAACCTCTGTACCATTGAGCTGGCAGGTATTCTAATCAATCTAACGATTTCGCGCGACCTCATCGATTGTCTTTGGTAGGTAACTGCCTACACTAGACAGGATTGAACTCCATTGGTCACATCTTGTATCTTGTATCTTATGGATAATAGGTTTTGTAATTCTCCAAGATTCCAATCTCTACAATAGAACTGTCTTGATGTTGGTGTATTGAAAAGCGTGACTTTCATGTTTGCATTAGGGGGTTGTGAAGATTGTTAAGTTACACATTTTTGAAACCATGAATCGATCAATGTTAGACCATAACCATTAGAAACCTGAAAGCACTGGACGGCCGTTCCGTTCTCAGCAGTGGGCATCCACGACTCCTGCGCCCCACAGGATTCGAACTCAAGCCCTTCAGTATTGTGTGCGAACGACCTAACCGTTAAACCACTAAGCCGGTATCTGACGGTGTTAATGTCTAACTTAATCAATTCACAGAGTTGCGCAACCTCATACACAGTCTTCGGTAGTAGTTACTGTTTACACACGAACAGGTTGAACCTCACTGGTCACGTCCTCCCAGTAGAACTCGGAGATGCGCACTTCTGAGGAGTCCCATACGAGGACGAAATGGCCATCTTTCAGTGCTTCCAGGTTTCTAATGGTGGTGGTCTAACATTGATCGTCGATTCATGGTTTCAAAAATGTGTAACTTTCATGTTGGCTCTTTTTTTTAATTTCCAACTCATTTTAATAATAAAAATTAACAATGAAACTCCTGTATATACACATATACGCTTACAGCAACAATACTAATACTTACTTGTATATTAATTGGCAATGCATTGATACGATGAATTGTTTTACCTAAGTCACTTGTTTCAAATGTTACATGTGACTGTTTAATTGTTGGTGACTTATCCGGCGTCGTAGTAGAAATATTCTTCATGAAATTGCAGTCACTAATTCACGACAGTCTGTGATTTTAGAATTTCATTAAACCCTTTTAGAATGTTTTTATTGAAGGTGTCTGACAACAACAATAAACCAATCTAACTTATATCATCATTGGGTTATGAACGAAGATTGATCGTTGAACAACCGAGTGATCAGTTAAAACAATTTACTTTGACCACCAATATCAAGGCAAATTAAAAACAATACCAACTAACCAATCCTGTATCATAGTAGTGATTAGTATTTTTTCTCTTAGGTAATAATAATAATAATATGTGCTGAACTAATTAATCGCTTACAAAACTAACTAATGGTCATGTGGTTAATAAGAATGGTTACCATAGTGATGATGATTATCTTGTGTTTACTAGCATCATTTTTTGAGGACAGGTTTTTGTGCACTGCAGCAATAAAGAGAATACTATTGATAATCATAATAACTGTACAATTAGTCAATAATTATTTAGTGTACTAACAAATTTTCTTATGTGATAATGATGTGTTTTTGAATATTGAACAATTGAACCGAGTCATTGTCAGTTTAAACAATCGATGGCGGAAATTTTGAATTTTAAAGCGATTGTTTTCATAGATGTTTAATCTTTAGACGAATTAGTGGACAATAGTTATCCTATACTCTACTTACTTACTTAAGCCTGTTACTTACTCCTCATGGAGCGAGCATAAGCCAACGAGTTGCATTCTGTAACCGACTCTCTGTCCTTGAGCCTTCTTTTCCAGTCCCATTCGATTGTTATTCATTCTTTTCAAGTTTATCTTCGATTCTCAGCGTCATGTAGCCGTTGGTCATCTTCTTTCCCTTTGGGTTTCAGGGTTCCATGTGAAAGCTTGCCTCATGATTCAGTTGGGTTAATATCCGTAATATGTGTCCTGGAATCTGGTCTGTCCTCTTACACCATGGGTTGTTGTGAATGGTTTCTGGAATATGTTATGTGCGTAGACAACTGTTATTAAGCACTTATATCTTGTGGACGACAGCTTTAGTAGTTCTCTAAGATTTCACTCCATACTTAATAGAATTGTCTTGACATTCGCATTGAAAATTATGACTTTGCTATTGGTTGGAAAATACTTCCGTTCCTTTGCCGATCCATGTCACAAACTGTGCATCATATACGTACACCTTGTTTATCACTGATACTGTTCAGATAGGTAGGTAACTAAGGGTTTCCACATCTTCCAAAACTTATCTATCAAGTATGATTTGGTTGGTGCATGCTGTATAGCCTCAGAGGATCTTTCTTTTTCCCTTGTCTCTATTGATAATTATTATCATCGTCTGAAATCAACATTGATGACAGTGTCCTTAGGGTGCAGTGTAGTTTGTTCTCTGCCACCGTAGGTTGTTGTTGATGATGTCTGGCCAATGGATCCGCATTATCTTACTTAGACAACTGTTGATAAGAACTTTTCTCTTTCTGGTGATATCTTTTGTGGTTCTGTAAGGTTCCGCTCCAAACAATAGAATTGTCTTGTCTTGTCTCATCAAAAACTGTGACTGTGGTGTTGGTTGAAAGTTGTTTTCCCTTCAATTGTAGAAACACTACTCTTACTTTATCAATCCGTGCCTTTAAATGTGCATCAGATAGATCCACCGTGTATATCAATGATGTTGCTCAGCTATGTATAAAAGCTTGCACATCTTACAAAACTCCTCTATCAAGTGTGATTTGGGTGGTGCATGCCGTATGGTATCGTAGAATCTTCCTTTTTCCATTCTAAATGTTGAGACTTGCTACAGCAGAGGCAATGTAACACTGATCTTTACAATTCAGTTGCCAACTGTATGAATGTAACCTCATGCAAATTATAGATTTCAAAATTGGCTAGGGTTTATCAATAAAATTTATTTTAAAACTGGGCAGGGGCTTTATCGACCTCTAATATGATCCAAGTGTTATGTGGTCTACCGATTGAATTCAACTGATCGAGTTGCATCTTGTAAAGACAACATTAGTTACTAATAAGTGATCAGTTTTGTACAAAAGTGAATATAACAAATGAAAGTTCAATCGTTTGGGCGCCTATTTGAAATAGAACTAATTAAGAATGATCTAGGATTTTATTGAATACATAGAAATTTCTACAATATAAATAGTAAAAATATATCTTTTGAATAATTTTACGATTATTTTTCAAAAGAGTAGTAAATAGAGTTGTTGCGGAGGTTAGATTACCGGAACTCACTTGATAAAGGTCCTAATTTTCGACTTTATTCATGGGCTGATCAATTGACCTTGAGATTACATTTCCCACTTGGAAAATCCTTGACTCTCACTGGTTGATGCAGTATTTTAGTACTCTATTATTGTGGCTCTCTCAAGGGTATTTCTATGATGTATAAATAAACTCAATTTGTGTGATTGTGGACATCGATTTTCTGATTGCTTGTAGAATAAACTTTCTACGTCTTGTCAAGACTTTCCCCCTATACTTATTGCGGCCTTGGGACGCTTGGATTAGAGTAGCTTGTCGTGTCACTGGATCACTTATCTTAGCTCTCGTTTACCGACTAAGATGAACTCGTAATAGTTTCAAGCATATCAATTGTCAAGCATAACAAGAATAATAATATAGATGATAATTTTCACTATAAGGTTGTGGAGACACTTGAGTTACTTTGAAATCATAAAAATCGATCAATGTTAGACCACCAATAGAAACCTGGTAGCACTGGACAGTTGTTTCTTCCCGGCATGGGTCTCATCAGCACTGTGCATCTACAACTCCTGTTATTCGCAGGAGTCGGATACAGGACCTTCAGCCTTGCGTATGTAGATGTTAACACCGTTGAATGCCGACAGGCTCAGTGGTTCAGAGATTAGGCGCTCGGGCATGAAACTGAAAGTCCCAGGTTCGATTCGTGCTAGTGACGGGAGTAGTCGTGTGAGCGTTCTGCTGATGAGTCCCATACCAGGATGAAACGGCCGTCCAATGCTTCCAGGTTTCTAATGGTGGTCTAACATTGATCATCGATTCATGGTTTAAAATGTGATTATGTTAAGTGAAGACTTGGTTCAATAGTTTTTTTCCTGAAATATTGATTTTTGAACAGGAAATTCCAATCATACTATTTAGGAGACCAACTATTTGCTAGTTCTGCGCTACTATATATAAAGTTTGTCAGCCTAAAAATAGCCTACATGAATCTAAACTCTATGTTTAACAAATTGATGTGGTTTAACACAATATACCATTATCATATAGAGAGAGTACCACAATACACAACGACATAATCTGATTAGGAGAGAGGAGGAGGAGAAAAGAAAGGCTTAAGTTTTGTATTGTAGTGTAAATGAATTACATTTAAAATGCTTTTTCTCTCTAAAACAAAAGAAAACATTAATCTCGGTAAATTTTTGTTTATTTTAAAAAGATAAAAACCGAAAGAATGCGAATGACAACATACTAGAATAGTAGAGAACTTGAAACAAATGTGTATAGATTAAATATTCTTCTATATTTAACGAAAAACAAGTTGTAATGAATAACGATAGAGTTGACAATAAGGTTTAGAAATTTTAGAAAAATACAAACTGGGTACGCAGATATAAATTTTAATGAGACAGTTATGAAGATTGTTGTTGATTATTGAGATCACGAATCATTAATCGTTACACAAACATTAGAAACCTGAAAGTGCTGGATAGTCGTTTCGTCCTGATATGGAACTCGTCAGTGGTAGTACTCATCCACAACTTCTGCCACTTACACAGGATGGAAGGCACATGGTTTGATTCCTACGATTATCGGGATTCTTAGATTTGGGCAATTCTGATGAGTACCATACCACGACGACAGACAGACAGACAGATACAAAGCAGAACTTCGTACATAAGTACATCAGTTCGCGTTGCCATACCACGTCAGTACAGAGACGTAACTGTCTGTTCAAATCCAAGAGTGATAGCGTTAGTAGAATTATTAGCAGCAACGGAGAAGATCAGGGATCAAAGATATGATTCGAAAAGTATAATTCAGTGAGATAAATTTAGGAGGATTAAGATAGAGATTATGAGGAATTCAGAAGGTTAAAACTTGAGAGAACACAAAGAGTGGATGCACCTGGGTCATTGCAAACGATTCTGAGCCATGTCATTCAAGTTATCTAACCATTGGTGACTATCGTCTCGCGGACCCCAACCACGTAGCCTACATCTACCAACATGACTCAGTCTACTTGTCAGTGACTTTGTGGATTTCTGCATTGTTTTGTTCTGACCGCCCCTAACTTTCTTCCAACCTAATCCTACACCACAAAACATAGCTCGTCGCGGCAGTCGGTGGTTAGCCATATGTAACACATGTCCCAACCACCTCAACTCATGAAGTTTCAATTCTTCATCTATTGATTTGTCATCCTTACCTAGTAATCGCTTCCTAACGAGAGCATTGCTTACTCGGTTGCCCCGCGATATATGAGCAATGTTTCAGAGACATCTACGATCGAATACTAGTAACCTACGAATGTCCGCAGCTCTTACCGGCCATGTTTCGCTTCCGTATCGTAGGACAGAGCGAACTGTTCCGCAGTACCACAACGAAACGGCCGTCCAGTGCTTTTGGATTTCTAATAGTGGTCTAAAGATTATTAGTTCATGATTTCAACATAGATATAACATGCATCATTGCTGAAATTCACCTTTGTGACATATTAGCTCTTTAAGTACCGTTTTTAAAATGTCTTCATGAATTTTAAGACTAAACAGTCTGATACTTTTTTGGATTGACAAATTCATAAACTAATGAGCTATTTTTTATTTGAATTATGACAAGTTTGCTCTCTGAACGATGAGTTTTAGCAAGGTATTTATTCTAACACAGATCTCTTCAATGTTTGGCATACTTGGACTTTTAACAGAAAATTTCAGTTACTTTTGTAAATTATGTAAGCTGAACAAACAGTAAATTATCAATGAAAATATTTTACCAACTACTGAGTCATATTGAAATATACGACAATACAATACT